AGCAGATGTAAAAGCGTTGAATGATAGAAAATTTATCTATTTACGTGATACTTACTAAAAACGTTGTATTTTTGATCTTTCATTATTATATTTGAATATTTCTAAAATCCTACTAAAGAATCGACTTGGACACCGGGGTGTCCAAGATGATCCTAAGGGTATGGGCAAGATGATCCAGGGAATAACCTTGCCTCTATTTAGGAAAATTTCTAGGTTTTGGTAGAAACATATGAAAACAACAACTTTTTAGACTTTACAAAGTCCTCACTTATGTAATCTAGGTATATGAAACAACAGTTACGGAAGTTCGAGAACAAATAATCCTAATTAATTTATATCTTACAGGTATCTAAGAGTGGGCGATATTGTTTTTTATGGCAAATTGCTAGCCACCCTCGTATCCATCTTTGATGTACTTTTTACGAGCTCGATTTCCTGTTTAACACATCTGATGAAAACAGTTTTTTTTTCACTTAAATATTTCATTGAACTGACAGACCCTTTATTTTTACCTTTAGTCCGTCTTTTTAATGATATGACGCGTACCTACTGCTAACTATTTACTTGCCGATCTATGTGGCGTCCTATTTTTTACGCCTCTAGTTGTTTAGATCATAGTCTTCCGACCACCCACCACGAATGGTTTTTCTTTTACAATTACGCGGCCTGGTCTAAAACAAGAAAAAGCATTTATATTTGTTATTAATCGAGATCGACCATGTAAACGAAATCCAGTCTTCTACTATTTTATTCGTATTGCAATCTATTTAATTAAGAGGTTTCAGTACTCAGAAAAACATACACATTAAAAATAGTCCGTTAACAATATATACAGTACAAGATGATATCCACGGATCATCTCGTACACCAAAACCATAATCATCTGGTCCCAATTTCCTTATTTTTATTTTTTGTTCGGCAAAATAACATGTAGGTATGCTGTCTATATACTGTTACCACGCCATTAAAAAAGTAAATAGAACATTGTACAAAGCCACCAACATAAAAATCTTAGCAATTGATTGCTTAGAATGGAAGTTGCCTAACCTTTTAATCAACTTTACCTTAGATCAAACTCACACAATTTTTGTTCGTTTCCACAAAAATGAACTCGTCACTCACATCGATAGTACGAATTGACTGATGAGAGGGCACATTTTACTAAAGAAAATATCTAGATGACGTTACTAGTTTCACGACAATTGAAAAGGATCATCTTACCTCCAAGGATCATCTCGTACACCTTTCCCCTAGTAGTAGGTAAATAACTTTCGACCGTTGTATGGAATGTCCGGGGTGTGACGGATCTTTATTTATTTTTTATAAATAAAACAAAAAATAACTACATCATGATCAATAGTCGACTTATGAAAAGTATCACAACTATAGTGACATACTCCCTGGAGCCGACATTAACTAAGCCCATAATTCTGTAACTGCAATAGGGAAGAAAAGGAAGAAATGCCTTCCTGAATGTGGTAGGTATATAAAAAATGTGATTTGCACGATGATTGTTTGAGATCCACCTGTGTTCCCAACCCCACGAAAAAGAACGCCAAGAAGTGTGAGGATTATCGGATAGTCAGCTTAATGGGCCTAGTGCTTAAATTATCTATCACAAAAAATCTCTCAGTGTGATGAACAAATTGGGGATACTCAATTTGGTTTCGGGCCTACTACGGGCACTAGAGATTCTGTGTTTTGTATACAGATTTTAGTGCCAAAATACATGGAAATGCAGGATGTATTTCTGTGCTTCATCGACTTTGAAAAGAAAAAATGAGAACTGTAGAATAGGCTAATCTCGATTTTAAGCATATTGGTCTCGGCGATGGACAGAAGACCAAGGACATTCAAATAAAGTGGGGAGTTAGGCGGGAATGTATTCATCACAAACTTTATTTAACTTTGCTTACATTAATAGAGGAAACGTTATCTGAATTGGACTGTGCTATAAAAAAAGCAGCTCATCAATAACATCAGATGCGCTGATGACACAGCTCTGTAACGGAACTGGAATTGCAAACTAATGGAGATGCAGTATGCGAATGCAGTCTCAGGACCAGATTAACGATGATTGCGTTAAAAACAAGAGTAATGGTGGTGTCCAATCGGAATAACACAGGTGTTATCATAACAGTGAGTGGTAGAACCTAAAGAGAGTACGCAGGTAAGCACAAGTATTTGGATACTTGGTTGACTGAAGACTGGGACAATCAAAATGAAATAAAAACCCGCACTGAAATAGCATGTACCTACTTTAATTCCATGCGGAAGGTGCTACGTAACCGCAATCTCAGAATATCTTCACGTAGGTACTCCTCTCCTCCGATGCCACGTATGACCTCTTATACGGATGTGAAGCCTGAATTATTCGGACAGATTTTCGTACTTCTCGAAAGACTCCGTACGCATCGTTTTTCCAGTTGTGCTTTGCTTTTGGGCAAATTTTGCACTGAGACGTGACCTATTTGGCTTGTTGCAGCACACACAAGCTGTTGACAATTAGGTTAGTATTGTTTTTATGCTTTTTTTTGTTTTTTTATCATTTGCTAGTTGTTTTCATTTAATTTTGTTTTCTGTTTCTCTTTTATCCATTGACAGTATTATATTTATGTGTGTGTGATGCAAATCAATAAACGTTTTATCTATCTGTCAGATTGGGCTTATAGATGCAAGTTGATCAGTTGTATTGTAGGGTCAAGTGCGAGGAAATTCAGTGACGCATAGGTTAAAACAGAGAACTCATGTTCCCATCAAACGCAGTTAGACCATTAAACGGTTTATTTAGGTCATACCATTTACATAGACATCACAGTTACAGCTTGTCGCAGTTACTTTTCGCAATTAATGCAAAGATTGCTGCAAGAAGGAAAGTAGGTCGCAGAAAGAAAGCGTGGATTGATATAACATTAAAGAATGGACAGGAGGTAGAGTTGATAGCTCAGGCAACTTATTATACCTCGCGGGAGACAGGGGATAGTACGTAGAATTACTAGCCAACCTTCACTAGTTGAAGGAGCACTACACGAAGAAGAAAACAAGATAAAACTCCTATTGACTTTTTTTTTAATTATTATTTTTTTATTAGCTGATCGCAAAAAGTTAATTCTATAAAAACAATTACAATTCGTTACAAAATGATAAATTCCAATTACATATTGTACAAACACATATAAATACACCAAGTAGTTCCAATCACATTGTGTAACATCCTTAATTGCCTATACTTACAACAGTGGGTGACACAAATTTATAGAACGGAACTTCTAAGTTAGTTGGTGCAGGCCCCTTTCGTGCTCTTCCCAAGCTGTCGAATTGGCTACCGTGACACGCGCAGTAGAAACCTCCAAAAAAATCGCCGGCATTCGGTGTAGGCACACACCCCAGATGGGTACATACGGCCATACAAATCAACCATTCTGGATTCACACAACGCTGCTCCTCGGTTTGAGGGTCTTTCAACTCTGATAACGGCGTCGCTCGCTCTTTCTCAATTTCTGCTTTAGTCCTGTGCTTGATGAATAATGGTTTCCCTCTCCATTTCACAGTTTCAGTGGTGCCCTCAAGAATACGATCTATTTTCACTTCCACTATGGCCATAGCTAGCACGTCCTTAGCCGGTGCCATGGCCATGATGTAGTGAGATCCATGAGACTTGAGAGTATACAGTCCTGCCATCCAACCTACAAATCCGAGAAAGTAAACCATTCCTGTTTTTGAGTCTGCCATTCCCCACGTTGTCCTCCTGACATCTACTAGGTGATCTTTCCGATATTTATCAAAAGTCGGGAAATGCATGTCGCGGTGGAACCGAGGGGGTTTGCAACAGAATCGCACTTGAGTCCACACAGTCCACTGTGGCCCCAATACAAACGGAACTTTCATATTGCAGTACACGTTGAAGAGATGTACACTAAGATTATTTTTAGACACCGTTCTCTTTTCTGCTGGATCACCTATTTTCAAATATTTTGAGGTTCTGCTATGACATTTTGAATTCCACACAGATGTTTTATAAAATGGATACAGGCGACTATTACTTAAAATATTCATTATATCTGTACAGGACTTGATAAACTGTACTTAATTTTAACTCACACGGTCATTAAACTGTTTGTAAATGTATTGTGTGTACTTCCAAAATTACATTTCACAAATTACAATTCTGACGCTGAAACCACGCCTCGCATTGACAGTTTTGTCAAGAAATTTAAGTCTTCTTTTTACAAAACAAAGATTTTGATTCTAGAACATTGATATTATAATCATTTATGCTCACTGTTCTAGAATGTATTAAATGAATAAATGGAAAATGAAGAAAAGGGGTTGGCCACAGATCATTTTACTTTCGTGGGATTGGCACTTGATGGACTTAGTTACACTTTCTGGATCCCAGGGAATTAGAAAGTTAACACGAAGGTCGTCATCTGCTTTGGTTAAATTAGTTTAAATTAGAACAGGTATTTTACTTCATCCTTCCTCTTTTTAGTGTCGTTAAGTTTACTTGAACTCTATATTATCCATCACTGCAGCTTGGCACAAGGCCTCTTCCTTCTATTATTTGTATAGTATTCGGTATATGAACCCAAGTCACAACAAAAGAGCTTGGTAATTATGTAAGGTAGATGGAGAGTGAGGTACCTACTACTTGTCAAATTAGACAATGGCTACTAATGGTCATAAGGTCACGATTACTCCCATAGTAGGTAATCTCTTACCTCTCATACATTATGCATACATAACGTAGTACCTAACTTTGTGAACAACAAACGCTTTTAATATTTATTGCCTTGACCAACCAAGAATATTCAATGAAAAGATAGCGAAAGTTAAATATGTTCATTTTCTATGAATCAAATACATGCTTCTCCTTGGTTAAACGTTTGCATCCAATGTTCTTAGGTTCAACTCACACTGGCGCAGAGGCGAAGCGTCGCGACCTTAGAGGATTCCATAGTCTAAGGTCGCGACGCGTCACGATTTTCGCCTATAGCATATTCATCTCTATTCTCCCATTATTAAGGTACAAATTTGTGTTATGCAAATATGGAATCGAGGGTCGACGCCGCTCGACAGGGGCCCAAGTTACGCGCGTCGCCGCACGTTACTTGGGCGCAATGAGGCGTCAGACGCCGACCACATTGTGATCCGGGCGCACTAATGCGAGCGTCGTCGCGCGTCCGCGCGGGTCGCCAGGCGGTATGGTTGAAAAACAGGACGCGACACGACGTTTCGACTCTGCGCCAGTGTGAGTTGAGCCTTAGTCTCTCTTACTTCCTTCATGCAATGTTAGTTGCAGTCGCAATAACAAAAAATAGTTTAAACACCATTGACTTACAAATAAAAACACTATAAATAACATAGATGTACTTGGTATACCTATACTAAATAAGCAAGGGGTAGGTAGTTTGGTATTAACCATTTGTTACATGAGTGTTCTGACTCTCCAAGTGAAAGTGGATCTCTAATTCTTTCACTTTTGTTATTGACGACTTAGCCATTCATTTTTCTATAAGAAAATACTTACGTGCCTACTTATGTAGGTATCAATACGACAAAACAATAAAACAAGTAATACCCATCATTTCTCTCTCGAGAGTGGGTATAATTTTTAAACAAAATAGCTAGAATTTCTGCTCCAGTGGATATGTCCCGGATCAGTTTTGTCCCGGTACACATAAGAAACCTTCACTTTCCCCCAGCGTCATCAACATCTTAATCTTGGAAGAAAAAATTGTATCTATGTCGCTTCGTTCTAAAGGTGTCTACAGACCGAAACCGGCTATCAAATAAATAATACTCGACCAAATCAATTATGAACGTTCATTCGCATCGTGCCTCTTTTAATTTGGTCGAGTATAAATTATGACCGTAATTGAATTTTTATTTGACGGATGTCGGGCGGAGAATGGTAGTAGACCCCCAGATCCCTACGAGCAACTTAACACTGATGTTTTACCCCACCATCTTGATGCTATAAATGACAACCCCCCTTTCCGCATTCAGCAAACCCAATTATTATAGGCCACCAAACGCCATGATTATTTCAATAAAACATCGAACCCGAGACCTGCCCAAAAGGGCTACTTAGTCAGTTTTTTATCTACTTAGAGGGTTTGTTAGTTAAGTTTGAGGTCTTCTTTACTCTTAACATATTGGTACTGATGCTATGGACAAGTTAAAGTAATTTGTAGATAATACTGTTGGATCAGAGACCAGAAATAATATATTAAAATTTTTGATTATTTATAATATTTCGTATAGATTAAGACAAAAATCATGAATAGTTGATGGTCGACAGCAGCATCTAGTCACATTTGGTACAAGTGCCAAGGCCCTATGACGTAACGCGTGAAAGTGAGCTCGCTCCGTGCGTTCACGCAGACGGTGCAGTAAGTGCCAAACGCGCATCGCTGCCGATCGAACCTGCTTGCAAGTGAGTACCTCAAACTTTGTTCTAATATAAACAGCCGCTAAATTTAAGAAATTTGCTCGTTTACATCAACTACAATTATAAAGCAAGAACTTATATAGGTATACACAAGCAAAGATGCAATTATTTAATTATAAACTTTTAGTAACAGTACTTAAATATTATATTAATTTCATTATTTCCTCAAAATTAATTTTGAATAGCAATTTATAAGGCTGACATGTCTTCTTGGTATTTGTAGAAAACAATTTATATGTAGATACATTGCGGGACCGCTGAAAAAAATATATTAATTTAAGTGTAACAATAATATATTATTATTGTATTAGGACACCTGCAGCAAGAATTAATTTTATTAATAAAAAATACAATGCATCTTTATTCCAAATACTGTTGAGTACTTAAATAAATAATCGATTGGGCAGTACCTACCTAGTATTAGGTAGGTACATTTAACTCGTTTACTAATTAACAACAAAAAATAACTAACTAGACCTGTATAACTCCTCTGGGTAGTATTTAAATTAACCTAATGAAAACAGCCACCTAACTAGCCGATCCTCGCCAGTAATGCGAAAAAATTGACTCATTTGCGCATAATCTGTATATGAAATGTTATTAGTGTATCCAGCAAACTAATATATTGAACAGACATCAAAAGTGTCTAGGGATCAAAGGTTTTTTAAATATTTGATTACCCTATTAAAGTGAAATAAAAGTGTCTGTATAAAATTAAATTACTTATTTAGTTATTTATTTTTAATTTATGAAATTAACCAAGTGTTAAAAATTGTTAAGAAACCCGATTTTCACCAATTAGCAAAAAGATGCTTGATCCCTAGGGATCATGATACATACACATCAAAAGTAACTAGACACTATAGATGTGTAGGTACCTATGTATGTAACACATACATACCCATACGTTACACTAATCAGCCAAAGGCTTAATGCGGATCAGGAAGTTGAAAGCTTATGAAATGCAACCACACGATATCCAAAACGTAAACTCAACATATTGTTAAAACCTCACCAATAGATATAATTAAACATGCAAAATACGAAAATTGAAAAACTAGGTACGATAACGGTCGATCAAATTCTTCACGCAAAATATCTCAAAGTTACAATTGGATACTCTTCCATATATGCTCTACTTAAACTCTTTATATTACTTTTAAGGAAAAGGTCATTTATAAGTTGAAATAAATACAGAGTCTTTCAGTGACAGGACAAATAAAAAATCGACTATTCCATGCAAAATGTTCACAGGTAACTTTACTCGACCAAAATATTAGACAAGGCTTTGCTGTCTTTCTTCGCGAATTGTAGAGTTCATCCATAATAAGTTCTGTAGGATTTCACACAAACAAACAACAATCACCTCTTAAATTGTTCCTTAACAAATATTTTGCACATTAAATTGTAAGTATAACAACCATGTAAATAAAAATAAACCAAAGTACATAAAACTAAACGAACTGTAGTACACTGAAATATTTATTTATACGCATGGTAACTTACAATTTATACTATGTGGTGATCACGATGCTATGCATATTAATAATTAAATTTTATAGCGCAAAATAACCAGCCTGTCTATTAGCACAGCGCTTCCCAAACTGAGGGCACCGGCTTACTCATAGACTTACCTCTGCACTATATAAATAAAAAATGCGATCGTGCTTTTGTCACATTGCTGGTTCTTCGAGAGTTATGTAGGTGAAGGAGGCTAGATATCGACTCCCTGCTGGTTCAATTTTCTTTGCTATCTATATATGAAGCGCTATAAACACACACCATATAATATGCCCATAAGTCCATGTGAATCATCAAGCCAATTATAATTACTGCTTGGACAATGTGGGAGGACTGTTTAATCACATCGCAAGCAAACTCCGTGAAAAAGCAGGTCATTGGCCCCATTAGAACAGTAATTATATCAACTGTTACCATTGACAATAATAAATATGCACTCATCTCAAGAGCACTCGATTTATTTGTAAACATGGCTATTAAGAGATATCCATTCGCAACCAGAAGCATTATGGAATTTATCAATAATATCGCCGTAATAGCTACCTTTACATTACCGTGAACTTTATAATTCTGCAAATGAATTAGTATTGCTTCAATCGCATAATACAATATAACCGATATAATCGTCATGACTGCAATTGCCAACCCGATGAAAGCTATTATAAAACAGCCTTGCTTTAGTTCTAATACAAGCATCACGTTTTTCACTCTCGGGGGATCCATTTTGTAGGCATAGGAATTAAATTAATAAATTTCACGGAAATAGCAATGTTTATAACTTTTTCGTTAATTTATTTACTTAGAATTTTTGATTACCGTAAGTTTTCTATTTATTTGCTTAAAGACTTTTTATCCTTTTTATTTGTACTTGTTAAAATTTGGTATGTAGATCAACATTGATTATGTGGAGATCTTAGAGGATGGAAAAAAATGAAGTAACTGTGGGTTACTGCATCTCTGGTTGAACCATAGATAAACTTAAACAATAATGAGAGGTTTAGTCATGATAAGAAATACTATGGTAAAAACTTTTTGCAGTGATTTTACCTCTTTATATTTATCTACCTGTCATATGAGACATAGCAAACTTTATACTTTCCAGTCCTATACAATTTCTAAGATCATCAACCCTTCATGGCAAGAAATGAACTATTTATGAAAAGGCGCTTGTCGCTTGTTCGTAAATAAAAAACAAAATAAGACCTGGTGTCAAACCCTTGCCTACCCAAATAAATTAATTTATAATAAATTATAGAAATAAATTAATAATTAATATATTTGGGTACAAAATAGAGGAATTCACAACATAAATTATACTGTCATGCCAAATATACTTCATATATAAATCACCAATGATATTATACTTGTTATTTATGCTCACTGTAAATCACTGTTACTTAAGGTGGTTGGCAATCTTTTCTTTCTTGATTCGACGATTTAGGGACGTATTCCAGAACTCTACTCAATACTCAAGTCAGGACTTGAGTATTGCAGTGAGCACTGAAAATCATACTCAAGTCCTTGCCATTAGGGTCGTATTTCCAGTGCTTGAAATCAAAGTCTGCTCAAATCCTGACTTGAGCATTGAGTAGAGTTCTGGAATACGACCCTAAGTAAGTTATATACGATAACCACGAAAAACCAAGAACAAGCAATAAACTTGTGAGTACGGGCAGTAGCATAACAAGCTAAACATTGACGAATCGTATACCGTTGCTCTGGAGGCAATATATGAAAAGTGTAAATAGCTGTTGATTGTATATACCTAGTCTTTGGATGGGGTGAATAAAAGAAACACAAATGTTCTATTTGTCTAGAAGAACCGTGATGTGTATTTCGCAGAGTAAGTATTTTATTTTAAAAGGAGTACTATACTAATGTCTAGGTATTTATAGTTCGACATTACAGGCTTACCAGTGGTCGAATGAATGGTCTATGGTGATTCATTGAGAATTTAAAATATGATTTTGAAATTTACCATGAGCTTTTCGGTGAAGGAAAACTTCGTGATGAAACCTGCACGTCGAAGCAGGTTCACAACCCTCAGTAAATGTGTTAAGTCCCCAACTCGCATGACTAGCGACTGTGGCCTAAACACTCACCTTAGAGGAGACACGCGATGTATGAATAGATTGATGACGATACGTAGTTCGTTCGATTTTGTTGCAGAATGTTTTACAAAAGGCTTATTTTCGCAATGGCGGCCGCCTGCATGGCAGCGCCCGTGGATGAGCCAGTAAGGGTGGATCTGCCAGTCTACGACTCACCACAAGCGGCTTCGGGCGTGAAGTTAGCCGAACCTTTGCACCCAGAAAACCGAGGTGGTGAAAAAAGTAACGGACCATTAACCGGACACTTCATTTCTCAAAAACTCCATGCCGTCTCCGGTGCTCTAGGTAGCAAGTTCAACGCTGGACAACTGGTATGTATTCTATTCTTGTGGGTTCTGTGTTACCATAATAATAATAATGAAGTAGTTATTTATTAAGCTTGCTATTATTCAATTTAAAGGTCATTATAAAACACTTGTTGCACAAACTATCGCATTAGGTAAAACCTGTAATGATAGTAAGTTGGAAATAATTAAATTCAAAGTCTGCATCTGTTTATCGTGAAAAGTGTATAAAATCAGTCAACATACCTTATAGTCATTAAATGTGATGTACACCTGTAATATTGGTTTGTGTGTCAGAATTGTGTTCATGATTAATTAAGTTTATACCTTAGACTATAATCCATCCTCTAAGGTTTATACATACAGATTTAATACACATGCCACACATGCTGTTGGTGTTTCTATTATGAATGTTACAATATTAGTTATAGTCTAGGAATCGGAGCCAATAAAGTACTAAAATATATTGTTTTTGGGTGGCCAGAACGGAGGCAAAAGTCGAGGCTAATTTGTCCTATAATATAATATAGAAATTAAGTAAAATGTACATTTATTATAAGTGTTATTAACATAACTAAATGTATTTATATCAAACACATTTAAGGAGTATTCATTGGTCTAGTGAAGAACATTACAATGAATACATATCATAAACATACGGATACCATAATTTGGACCGTACCTTACGACAGGTATTATATAACGTAAAAATGTTTCACGTTCTACTATATTTATTATTTAACTAAATATTTTAGGGGCACGATGAAATTGTGGGTGGGATTTTCGCCGCGCCAGTGACAACAAGAGAAGGAGCACTACTCGAAACAGAAGGATGGGGCAGTAAGACACTCTCCGCTAAAGAAAACTTGCACAGTATTGTTGCTGGTATTTTTCAGGTATACTTATAAATGATAAGCTTAACCTGAATGAAATACATAAAATGTTCCTAAAAATGAAAGTAAATCAATTTCGCTACACCGCGAACCCAACAACAACAGAAGTAAACTAATTTGCTATACTGCGAACCCTTTCATTAACATGGACTTCCGAAAAGTAACAAAATTAAAGCGTGTGATCTAAGTGAAGACAAAAAACCGATAACAAGGTTTCATAGTTTAAGATATGGAAAGGAAAATACTTATGTTTAACGCGGTATTGAAGGATTATTGAAATGAAACTCATATCCACATTTTGCATATTTCTTATAAATAAGGATCGCTCTGTTTGAACATAAATACCTCTGAAGAGAATAAATTGGAAATTGAATATGGGTTTCAAAACAAACATTTGAAAAAAATTCAACCAACTTCAAAAACCACAAAAGTCATCACACTAAAAAGCACAGAGTCCAAAAATAAGGAATTAGATATTGTAAATATTTAAGTATCAATATTTTTTTAATGGTAAAGTTAAATTTCAAACCGATCAGTAGGGAGCACATCCCAATAATCATATTTTATTAAACTTATCGATAATAGGTTTGGACAAGAATTGTCACGTTGTAATTGTATAAAAAACCATAAATGTGGATAGATTGATTAATAAATTGCTATAATACTGTGTACAAAACGAAATGAGACAAAAATAAACAAAAAGAATTACATTCATTGTTGTCATTTGGATTTAATATCTATTTTGTTATTTTTCGCTTTTTAGTATAATATTGTGTGCTTTGTGTATTTGTGATTTTCGAAGTTGGTAGATTTTTTAACATTATTTATTTTAACCATTTTTAGTAAATATAGGCAGGTAAGTGGTGTACTGTTAGTTAAGTCCATACTAAATATTAGACTAATGCACTTTGTGATTTAGAACCAAATAAATTAATTATCCGACCACAAGATGAAAAGGCGTTACGAGAAATAGAAAGATTAAGACGATCGTCTTAATCGCCGATCATATGACGAAAAGGCATTACGAGAATTGTCAAAATTTTTCTATTCGGGTGTATGAGTCTGAGAGTAATCACTGCATGCTGCTGAACTGACGATAAGGCAAAGTCAAATATTTTTATTCAAATAGGCCCAATACTAGTTTTTTCAACAATTACAAGCACTTACCATCATCAAAATGATATTCAAATTTGCCATTTACGAGGTTCAATACTATTGTGAAACAAAAACTTTATACTATAGGTTCTGCGTACAACTTCTGCGTACTTGGATGACAAAAATCCGTGACAGTGACCCGTTTAGCTCTTTCAGGTATTCTCGATCTAAGATGTGTAAATTAAATATTGTAATGATAAATGTATTCAAATGTATATTTAAAAAAGAGCAACCCCTAGAGTTTCTTGCCATTCTTCTCAGGGAAATCTGCCTTACGAATGAGAGTTTAATCAGAATGACGATTACAAGTGCAATTTGCTTACCTATGAAGTAAAGATTCTTTGACTTTGACAAGTGTGGGGTCTACTCGTTATATCGTTACGATAAATGGAAAGATGAAGACGTCCACGCCTATCCCAGAACTTTTGATTTGTAACAGTTCAACAAACACACTGTACATGTCTATAAAATTTGAGGATTTCCCTCGATTTCTGTGGGATCTCCTCATCAGATTGGTGACAATGGGAGAGTAAATTGAGAGTGCACTTTTCAAACAAAAAGAATTTTCAAAATCGGACCGCAATTGATGGAGAAATCGGACAACATATCTGGTCCGTCCCAAAAGTATCGAACATTTTTCAGGAAAAATACTTTTATTGAACTTATCGGTACCATACATTAGTACTCTTCAAAATAACACCCTTCAGCATCGATGCACTTTTGTAGGCGAGTTTTCCATGCCCGGAAGGCCCCCTGGAAGACGTCAACGGGTAGGTCCTTCAGCGCCCTCGTCGTAGCTTCTTGGATGTCCTTAATTGTGCCCCAATGCTTGCCTTTGAGCTTCGACTTGATGCTGGGAAACAAGAAGAAGTCTGCCGGGGCGACGTCAGGACTGTAGGGAGGCTGCGGGACCAGCGGGCTTCGTCGGTCACCTCTTCCCTTCCGTCACGGAACATCTTGTGCCACTTCCTGACCGAGGATTCGGACAAAGCTTTGTCCTTGAAGGCCTGTTTAATCATCTCGTTGGTTTCCACAGTATTTTTGCCGAGTAGAACACAAAATTTCACTGCGTACCTCTGTTCTAACGGATCCGTCATCGCGCTACTTTTAAAAACTTCGACGAGGTGTCGTTTAGAGCTCTACGCGAACGCACGTCCTGCCGCTCCAGGTGCTCGGAGCCAACTGGGACCGGTCGCGCTGTATCGGCTAGATCCCCCCACCACTTTCTGTTGCCAAGCGGAGCGCTTCCCGCCGTTCGGCAAAACTCCCAAAAAAAATGTTCGATACTTTTGGGACGGACCCTGTATCTGTACATACAACCGAACGTATAACTTCCTCCTTTTTTGAAGTCGGTTCATGAAAAGAATTTTACAGAATCAGGGTACCAGTCAGCAAAATGAACAACGTACCTACTAAAACACCTGTTTACAGTATTGTAACAAAAAGTTTCTACCAATCTTCAACTGTTTACACGATAAGAAAACAACTAGTCAATATAAATTTTATATTATGAATCAAAGTTGTAGGTCGTATTATTTTTATTTTAAGATCATCAGATCATTTATCAACTTAAAATAATCAACATAAAATATACCATCTACGTCCTCAAAGGAGAAAATGTTTAGGCTAACCTAACCTAACCCACCACTCTGGCCACCAATACGGTTTAGGTTGGGCAAGATGTATTTCTGCTTGAAATTAACAGCGCTGAATTTAAATAGGTACTTGAAGGCCTTGTAATGCGCGTACAATCGAGATTGCATGCAGAGGAAAAAATAATTGCAATTTAAATATATGTCTATAGGTATGAATATATAGACAGACCAACTGTTAATTAATGCTGGAGGTGCATCGAATTTTATATCAGTCTGATACTGATGCTTATATGATGATACTCGCTTAACAAATTATGTAGGCAACATAGATATATAATATGTTTTCTATAATATCTGGGTATATTTATAGTCAACTGTATTTTTTGAATAGGTACCTGTTGCAATCTCTTAACAAGGAAAACCAGACCCTAAGGTCCCCAGACCTTTGAACATATCGAATACGAATAATACGAATTTGAGCACATTAGGTATATACATATCTGATTCTTCGTATGAGCACGAATGAACGGTGCGCGAGCATAAATGTTGCACTCGAACCCAGACACATACGGCACAGATAAGAGACTATGTCATTTTTTTATGATGCAATCTATTTATTCGCTGCTAACATAAAAATTGTTGTGGCCATTTTGATGATTTGATATTTTCAGCCGAAACCAATCGTAGACACGATACGAGAGGAAGACAAATACGGCAACACGGGTGATAAATTTTATGCAGCTGGCCGTGCCATCGTCGGCGGCGCTTCTGGTGTCTCCAACCTAGTCAACTCGGTCCTCGAGGTAAGTCATTACTCTGGTCCCTCATAAAAATAAATTTACTCATTATAATAGCAACAATCACAATGAAATAACATTCGTTGAAACCGATACAGTCGCTAAGCGAAAAAGTTAACGCTTAGGAAATGGCCATTAAAGTTTATGAAATTAAGTTAAATTTGAAAAAGCAAAAGTTTCCTTTAGTGAGTTTCCTATTTCAAGTATTACCTTTAATCGTATTTTACAAAGATTAAAATTTATCAGTAAATCTCGTGGAACGCAGCAGGTAGACTAATACTTTTTAATACTCTACTTCATACCTATTTTGTGTGTATTCCGTTTTCGAAAAAAAGGAAGCTATAATAGGTGTAATTAGTCCATTCTTTCTGGTCATTGATAACATTTTAACTACAGTGCATTTCTCTCGGAAATCTGATATGAACGTAATAACTTTTTGATATAGACACCTAAAAAGCACCTCTACGGTATTCACAACGTGACACCTGTGTCAGCAACATGAGACACTGTAACTATAGTATCGCATATTAATTGTATGAAATAATTTACAGCATCACACACAAGTGTCAAATTTAATGTCAGTTGATGCTGTGAGCTAATCCACAGCTATACCAATACCAATGCTATTTTATTTTAATTGGAAGTTGTAGTCTAGTGAATGGAAAGAATAAAGGAAGTTGTAGTATGCGTGTCACTTCCGTACAAGAACCACGAAAGTCAGTTGTCAGTCATTTTGTCACTGTATTGACTCATCATTCGCCATCCTTCAAAACCGCCATTAGCAGGGTCAAGTAATTTCTCAACCTCTATGGCTTAAGTACAATTACCAACACAAGTTGTAAGGTATTTTCATAATAGCAGTCTATCGTACCTTAACAATAACGTAAAGATAATTTTTTTTTTAAATAAAAAGGTTAAGGTATTTTAGTCTTTTAGAAGTTCACCTTGACGAAAATCTGAGTATTTTAAGTAATAATTTTCTTGTGTTTGTATAGACAGGAGTCTTTTTTTCCCACAAAATCGAATCAATAAATATAAATAACACGAGTTGTTGTGACGTGGAAATCAATACATTTGTTCTCTACTTTGACTATATTTTTCTATCCTCTAATGTTCTGTAAGTCGTTTTGACAAAGAACACAAAAACTTAAATGAAATCAAAACAATCACAGACAACCTACATAGGTGTGTCAACAAAAAGGTTTTCCAACAGTGTACTTAGGTCAATTTCAAAATAGAAATGTATACTCATTGACCTAACAGTATACTTAAATAAATTCAGTAAGAAAGTAGCGTGCTTTTGTCGTGTCAGTAAAACGTACGTGGCATCTAACTTTCTTATTTGATTTTGAAATAATCATAGAATGATGGTATTTTGAGGAACTTCTAGCCTTGTACTTCTAGTATTGTACTAAAACTTGTAGAACCAAGAAAACAGACTATTAACTATTTATTAAAAGTTGTTAAGTGTTTGGCAGCTGGTGAAGAACGATTGCTTCTCGATTGAGAGGTCGACAGTTTGAAAGAAACTATATTTATAGTTACTATGAACTGAATTTTAAATATCAGTTTTATTTAAATGTAGTATATTATGCTAACGTAATATAAAATGTATTTTTAATAAACACATATATCATTACAATAATAAGAAATATAATAAATCTTATAACAAAAATAAAAATGTGTGTACAACATTCAAATTCATAGAGTGCTATGCCTCAATTTCATTTATTTTTTAAGTTACATCATTGACTTTTATTATGTTAAATCACACGATGCCAAAATTGCGACAGTTTTGTAGGGAAGCGGCGATTGGTCGCTGCGAATTGTGTTTGGGATGAAAGTCGGGTGAATGATCGCTATTGCCATGCTATTTGGCACAAACTATAGCAGTGAAGGAAAACCTGATTTCGAATGTTCATAAGCCTAGAAAAACACGTGAAGTCTCCTTTTAAAAGTATCCTTGGAGGAGAGTCGCGTCCAATAGGGCTAGCACAATAGGACGTGACTTACGCAAGAGGGACATAGTAGCGCGTGATATTGCTATTATCGATGGGACTATAGCAGTATCTCGCGTTTTATGTCGCTATCGCACAAGTGGCGTCCTATCGTGCTAGCCTTTCAGCAGTGAGACGAGTAACGGGTTGTTGATAATGATAAATGTTTTCAGGTTCCCGGTACCATCTTTAAGAAGATAACGCGGATAGCCACGGAGAAGTTAAATAACTTAGGAGGAAAGCTCATAGGTTTAAATTAAGGTGCACCTTCTGAGAGTATTTAGGTGAACGTAAAGAAGTATTAGTATAGTCTACCGTACCATTATAGTCAGTAGCGTAACGAGGGTAACCCTAAGGTCCTTCAGCTCTGGGGACAATGGATTTAAAATTTAATAAATGGGTGTGTAATGAAAGATATAACAACAAAATAATCTATTTTCACTTGGTGTAACAATATTTGATATAATTTATAAGGATATTATCATTTATTGAATATATGTATAATGAACAAGAGGTATAACAACAAAAGGCATAATTTCAATGTGCCTAATTAATAAATCTTCAGTATATTTATTTGGGGCTTCGGCGGGCACTGCCGTGGCAGACTCGCGCTTCTTTATGGTCGCAGTTTTAACCTAACCAAGGGGAAGTAACGGTTCTATAACATTATTTTTATGTGTTTTCGAACCTAATACTCCTTGCTGCGCTCGTCATTGCTCCTATTGCGTGTATCGCCTCTCACTTGAGACTGGTATAGTTCACAGGTCGTGGAAGATTACAAACGTGCAACCTGTGCCAAAAAAATTAAAGCAGAGCTGACCCCGTCAACTATCCCACTCACTTTCATACTCTGCAAGACTATGGAACGTGTACTCAACAACCGTTCTCTGTCGTACCTTGAAGACAACGACCTCCTCAGTGATCTCCGATTTCTTGAGCGAACGTTCCATTCGAGTGGTCTTAGAACATAGATTGCTCAGTCCGGAGTTCCTCAAGATTCCGTACTGTCTGCAACTCTCTTTCTGCTGCATATCATTGATATGACAATACCGTACCAATACAGGTACCTTTGCGTGTGCTGATGACAACACAGTTGTAGAGAGGCACTTAACATAACCAATGCAAGGGTCAGTGGAGAGGAAATCCAGTCTTGTCGAGATCATATGGTTAGCCGTTTAGATTTCACACTCGAGGCAATCTCCGATCGTGGCGATGCCAATCTTTGTTAAATTTAACGCTACGAAAACACAGGCGTGTCTATTCTCCACAAAACGGAGTCCTTTTGAGGACTTCGACTTTTCGTGATATATCCATATCTATAGCCGACTGTCTCCAGCTACTTGGAATGGACCTGTCGTACAATCCATGGCCAAAAAATGCAGCAAGGAAGCTTGGCGTCCTTTCCAGAGTGAGGAGTTACTTTACACCGTTACACACAGTTGCTTCAACTGTATCTAGCACATGTGCGGTCGTGTATGGAGTACTGCTGCCACCTTTCCGATGACTCTGCTACATATCAACTGGCCACTTGGATTCAATCATAGATTTAGCATATAGGTTTCAATTGACAAGCGTGTCGAGAGGCTTATAGGCACTTGCCAGCTTATCGGTATTTTACAGGATATATCACGGAGAGTGTGCGATGGAATTACACGATTTAATTCCTCCTTCCCCTTTCCATCATCGGTGGACTAGACCTGGGCTTGGGTTCCACCCCTATGTTGTGGATATCCGAAAAATTCACACGAAGCATTACATTGCTACATTTTTATGGCGAACGGCTATAGAGTGGAATTCCTTGCCTGCAGGGAACTTGAACCTTTTCAAGGCGAGAGTGAATATGCATTATTTAGGTGTGCGTGCTCCATCGTCACTTTCCATCAGGTGAGATGGAGGTCAAATGCGCACTTTCATTTGCATAAAAAATACTGGGATTATATTTCTGCTGTCCGCTAAGTAAAACGCGGCTAAGTGACGTAATATTTTTTTGAGACATCATAAAAAACCATAACTCAGTTTTAGTATATTTACGGTCGTATTCCAGAACGCTACTCAATGCTCAAGTTAGGATTTGAGCTGACTTGAGTATGATTTCCAGCACTGGAAATACGACCCTAATGGCAAGGACTTGAGTACGATTTTCAGTGCTCACTGCAATACTCAAGTCCTGACTTGAGTATTGAGTAGAGTTCTAGAATACGACCCTTAAATTGTTTAATCATATTTCAACTATGCATCGTTAGGGTAAGTTCCGATTATCCGAACACATTAACTAATTATAACTGTTTTTAAAAGAGAATTTTGTGCTCTATCTTATGCTATTTAAAACGAATATTTCACCATGTTCAGTTAGTGGACGGCAGATTTATAATAATAAATTATACCCATTGGATGTTATATCTCAAACGTTTATATAAAATGTACATTCTGCCATCGGTATTTTAGTTTGAAAGTTGTTACATCAATCGTCTATTATATATATGCAACGAGAGTTATATCGACTAAAAATACGTCATTTATTGTTGTTTTTCTTACGAACCGCACCCCTACAACAACAATTTAATAAATACCAATTATCTTATGTGATAAACATAGATCGGAAAAAGGTGTTCAAAATCCACAGATACGTGTAAGACATAACTACAAGGAGTGACAATACAGTTGTGAAAACCACAAAATTATAATTAATTACTTTTTCGAATTCCGGATTTCCGGAAATGGTTGTACTGCATCGCAGGACTACTCATCTATGTATGTGGCACACCTTTTTCCGACTATTGGTGATAAACAATCTACTTTCAATTTGTTGCTAACTGACCATATTATTTGAAAGTCTTGGCTAGAATACCTAATTTCTTTTGTCCAATTTCTTATGCCTTATAAGAATATATTTCTAACATTTGTAATTTGTCGATTAGAGGCTTAATGATGTAAATAAACGTGGTTTTACTTTAATTTTGTTTCTTGCCTCTTTGGTCATTCATCTTCAAAATGCTCACAATAAAAATAAACTTCCGACCTCTGCGGCCGAGTGGCTTGCAAATTGGTTTTCATGATGTCACCATCTCTGAGGTTCGGGATTCGATGCCCGGCCACCTGAGCCTAGGTGTAGAAAAATCTAACTTTTTTTATATTGTTTTGGGTCCGGGTGGTTATGGCACCGTCGTTGTTTTCGATTTCCATAACACAAGTGATTTAGCTGCTATTTTGGGATCAGAGAAACGTATGTAATGTTGTCTATTATTTATTTATGATTATATATTTATGATGTGACCACATCAAAGTTTGCAAACTGCTTCTGTCGCATCTCTTATTCCAGCTAAATAATGGTCGAATTTTTGAAATTGATTTTTACATTTTAGTTGGTTAAACAAAGGAGCGACAAATTTTAAAATTTCGCGACTAGAACCGACTAATTCACGACTTTTCTGGGTGCTATCAGATCTAAGCTGGAAGCTGTGGCACTCGAGATTCAAAAATGGTGCCGCCGGAATAAACTTACTTCAACATAGATACGAGGTGGGAGCCAAAAGTAACAAGAATTCCATCATATTTTTTTTATTTTACTTAATTTTTTATATAAAAAAGGATAGTAAAAATAAATACTTTTTTTCAATTTACAACAAATAAACAGTTAAACAAACGCCTCAATGCCCAATCTACATAAAAAATATTGCAGAGGTAAATACTGCTAATTGCGGGTCGCAGATGCCTTACTTTTTTTAAATTTTGATCATGTTTTCTTTTGGTGGTAAATACTATGAATGAATGGAGAATGTAGCTAATAGATTACTTTAAAAAGGTGGTAAATAATTTACGTTTGATTAAGGGTTAATAAAGCAATCAAACGTTTAAAAGGTTATCAAGTATTTACCTAACACCTTGTATAACTGACGGTGTTACAATGTACTAACAATATGTATAGTGTGACATAAATATAAAATGCGTTTTACGTTTGAAGGATTTATTTATTTCTTTTAAACCAAAAACCGATTTCACAATCTAATATGTGTAATTATAAAACGAACGTTACATATGGGACTAGTTACTAGGCCCCTTACATTAAAATATCCCTAATTATGCTACTTTTATGTATGCATATATATAAAACCGTGTATGGATGTCTAGACCTTACTCTTTAAATGCTTTAAATATAATGTATATTTACATTAAAAGAATAGAAGCGAAAGAACTATATAACATACAATATATTAACATGGTCTTAACATCGTTAGAATACCTATACAGAAACAAAGCCGTCTCTCGTAAACCTAAATAACAAATACATCTAAGTTCAACCTCGAACAGTATGACAAAGTAACAAAAAATAAAACCAAAGAAGTTCGGCAATCTACACACTGTCAATAATGTTTTCCAATGAGATCCACGATTTTGTTGGGCATTCAATACAAATAGTACAAAATATAATAAAAATGGCTTAGTAATATTTAAATACATTTCAAGAAACATTAAAATTACTTAACTTAAGACTGTAGAAATTATATTCCATGACTGCATGAAAATTAATGCAAACTGTTAAACCAGATCGAATATAGCACAATAGGTAACGAGTGCTTTCGAACGATTCTGAAAAGTATTGAATACGATGTTCTAAGTAACTTTAGAACGACCACCCTTTTCTAGTGCTTTTTAGTAATTTCATAGTGCAAACAACTTTTTTATAGGTTTCAAAATTGTTGTTTTATATTTAGTACCATATATTCAATTTTACAGTTGTCATGACAAATATAAATTTATCTTTTTTAAATTGCAATTATATACATATTCCACATAAAAAATATTTAAGTACCTTAATTATTATGTTCAATTTTAAATTCATTGAATAATGTAAAAAATATAGCAATCTTTAAGTAGAAATTCAGTTCGTTGACAAACTCGGGTTGTCCCATAGTAAGCTATAATATGTGGGGCAGTGGCGAAGGGTCCACGTAAGACGATTAGCCACGGTATGAAATTATTAGGATAGTTACTTACCATAGCGGAGCGGAAAGGAACAGTTTCAGTAGCCAATAATGTCTCGTTATTTTGATATCTATCACTTTGACGAAATAAAGAAGTACTATTGGTTGCCGAGTGTGTCTCCTCTGCTCCGTTTTGGTAAACAATTTGCCTAGGGAAGTGACTTCTTGGATCAAAATCAACAAATATTTCTATTATCATTTTCGCTTCATAATTTCATATTAAAACACTTCATATTTTAAATATTTCAAACGATACCATCAGACATGTCGTTAAATTTCATTTTGAAAAGTTCCAATTAAATTATTATGTTGTACCTTAGCTGTCACACTCTTAAATATCATTCATTAGCTTTAGCATAATTGATTTTTTATATATACGCTTTTGACGAGTAGTGATAAACAAACTGGGCTATCCAATACTTGACCATCAATATCTCCGTTAATAAATATACAAACATATACAACAGTATTGTCAAGTTACAATTGTCAGGCAATTTATTAAATAAATAGTTAGTTCTCTGGTTACAAAGGCTTATATGGGTAGTGTTTGTATTGAAATTTGAAGAAAGTCAAGATGTATTATTGGAAAAACAGATGCACATGGAGGCTTGTACAAAGAGATTGCTACAAACGTTAGAAGTCCCAATAAATTCAACCTTTTAGATGATTCTAACGCAACTTAATCACGAACGCTTAGCATATCAGAACAAAGCACGGCAGTTGAGAAAGAGCAAATCATAAATTACATTCAGAGTGAGGAGCGTTTTTGGCAAAGTTCATCGACTAAAATTTGGCACAATACAAAGCTTATACAATATTAAGAAAGTGACCCTTTTTTTTTAAGACAAAGAACGTTTCCATTCAAGAGAAGACCCTCTCTTCAAAAAACTAAATTCATTACCGGCAATGTCTGCAAAATATGCATCTGAAAAATAAACCGTTTGCGTTAATGAAAACGACGAAAGTTCTAAATTTAGAAAACATATTTAACAAGTCTATTGATCCACACAGAGAAATTCAAAGATTTTGTTATGAATGTTGTTGATAATATGGAGCAAGGAAATTCAGGACCAAAAACTTTCAAAGATATAATGATTCATCCTGACAAAGATGGGTGGCTTGAAACTATGTGTCATTAAAGCACATTTACGGCAATTGATTACGTGTCTTCACAAAAAAAAGAGTGTGTTTCTGATTTGTTTCTTGACTTTGTGGACGGTTTTCAAACCACGTATTAATATTCTATTGTCTGGATAATAGACATAACGATTAATAGAACGCAAATTAATCAATTAATAATTATTCTGATAAAATATGAAATAATATTAATCATTTTCCACAAAGGTTTTATATTTAAACGACTTTAATAGAAATTGGCGCTTTTAACTTCACGAGAAGAAAAAAGAAACAGAATGATCAAAATGCAAACTCTGCAAATTAACTTGCTGTTTAGCTCGACCATGTACATGAGACGTTAAAAATACTTAAAACATGTTCATTGTATTCTCTGTTTAAAGATAACCCTTAGTTGAGTTCTTAGAGTGGACAATCCTCTCAAGAATATTTTGAACCTCCTCATATATTATAGCATATTTTTTATGTACTTACTTATTACATAGTTTACTACGCGACAATCGTACTGCGACTAAACGATGCACTAAATTGACACTTGTAATGACGCCTTATACTTAACATTGTCAACATTTTATAAACTTTGTAATTAATTACCCGCGTTATTCACGCATGCAATCAACGTTTGCAACTCTGAAATATTTGTACATATTGTACATTATGACACTGATATTTTGACATATAATGAAATCCATAACATTGCATTACAATTTTTTACTGAAACGGCTCTGTTCCCTAATTTGTCAATACATTACAACATAATAAACGTCACACATTTACTTCACATCTTTGCATCTTCATCCCTTGCGATTCCCTTGCGTGGTTTTCTTTGCAAGCAAATTAACACTGAGTACAATAATTGTGTAGCCTTATAAAAAATGTTTTCGAAATAGTAATTTTACTAGTATAGGATTGTAACATAAAGGTTTGCCCATCAGCCGGTGATCGTGCATAAGAGTATCGTATGTACAATTATATGTTGTTTGCTAAAAATTTGGAAAAAAAAAATGTTAGCAATGAGTATTTTGGTGCCACATAACAAAATGTAATTTATAAATATATTTTTCTCAAACACGCTTGAAAATATAAGCGTTACTTTCAAAAACGAAGCCACAAAGTCTATTATTTATGGACCGTGCAACTGTTTTTCGGCCTAGACTGGCAATGAAAATACATTTCTGCTCTGATAGCCCTGCTCTAAATTTTTAAATATATACTAACAATGAACTATGGTAAACAAGAGAAACTGTCTTTCAGCCAACTACTTACAAGAATTAGTATTACGAGAAATAAAAAAAACAATTGCCTGAGGTATTACTTCTTTAAACAACATAGAAAATTTTCGTACAATTTTTTTTTAGTAAAAGAAAAGACTGTTTAATAAACCGAAGCGTCTGGGTGTAGTTTCACTTATTTTATATTTTTAATACTTTTTTCTTTCAGCAATTATCTATATTTTAAGCTTGTTTGTTTTCCCTTTTGCTATTGTATGTATCTACTTCATTCTTTAGTCTTATCACGTTGTTTGAGAAAAGCACTATAAATATATTATATCTCGGCAGTACTCAGACTCATACTCATCCGACTATCGTTAAATGTGCCGAGTCAATTGTTACCTCTTAAAGTAGGTCAACTAAAGCCTCCCTCCGAATGTCATATTAAATGTATGGTAGTGTTTAACGTTAGAATTTTGGATATTTCTAGTTATATTTAAAAAAGTTATTGATTTCGATCTACACATTAGGTAACGTACTTTCGATACCAGTTTAAAGCTTTTTGACAACTCTTATATATAGGAATAATCGCCAGGGCACACTTAACGGTTACAACCAGTATTGGAGAAACAAATAAAAAACTAAAAATCTAAATATTCCATTTTCCACACAATCATCACCAGCTGAAGTATTTCCACACTACAAAGACGCAATAAATACAACCTTTGATTTTATTACAATTATATAATTACTAGATATTCAACTGAAATTGTTGCAGAATAATTTTATTTACGACAAATCAACGTAAAACGATATTTGACCATGTTTTAGCACCATACATTTATATATTACGTTTTGATAAATAAAGTAGTATTCGCTGCATATAAAGAAAACAACTCGTACCATGAACCTAGAAACACACCCCAAAATGTATCATCTCGTAACACCTACGATGCTCCGTAAGTTCAAAACGAAACCAAAACAGCTCAAGTAGTTTAAAACTACTATTACTATATTTTTTTTTTTATTATATATACTTATACCTAATAATAAACATTTACAATTGAACGCTATGTCTAAACTGTCTATGTACTTAGTAGAATACAGTGACTATTGCCTCACCCCCTCGTGACAGATGACCCCACTAGATCAGTATAATATGCAAATTACAATTAGCGCTCATTTAAAAATACCAAAAACGGCATTGAACAAAGAGATCTCTGTGAGATCCTGCATTATGTACAAAAACAAAAGTGTTTCCTGGCAAATTAAATGTATTATTTTCACGACAATACTTTATACAGTACATAAATAATTTCAGATTTTTGTAGTCATTTTTTACAAATACGTCATAGATGCAATACTTAAATTTCTCTGTTGATTAACAATTATGTAAAAATCACATGATTTAAGAATGACGTAACAATTTGACAATACTCACATTGATATTGTTAAATTTTAACGTAAACTATGTTTTTTTTTTTCTTTTGGGACTTTTATTCATCTCTCGATAAAGTAGTAGCAATTGACAACATCTCAATATTTGCAGAAAACAAAAAATAATATATCAATCCCTTTCACAGATTTTATTCATAAACAAATCATATTCATTAGCGCCTTATCGGATCAATATCTAAATTTCGCACTAGACAGTTCTACAATTCACGTTGATTTAACAGAAAACGAGGTTTATCACGTATATTCGTAAATATATAAACAATCTTTCATTATTTTGTGTTTGGACAAAATGTAGGTAGCCTTATAGTATTTTTAGCCTTATTTTTTCTAATACTCGTTCGAGAAGCAAGTCGCCAGAACTGTCTCGACTACATTTTTGACTGGGTGCTTGTTTCTACGTGCACGTCCGCGACGAAGGAAATTCCTAGCATTGTCATTTTTGTTCTTGACTATTTGTGTATTTTTATTGTCTGTTTATTACTGATAATAACAGTAAAGGACTAGCGGTGAACGAAGAGCGCTCCGAACTCTGCACCCCGCACTGAGCGCGTCACCGTCTCCCGCACCCCGCACACCGCGATGACCCGCCTACTCTCTAACATCGGTACTAGTTGAAGAGGCTATAATTAGTATATAAGTAGGACCCGAACGATCAATAAACGTAGTAGTCAGTCAGTTGAGTAAGTGTTTTGTTTCCGATCCTGATTCCGAGAAGAGCAAGAACCAGAACAAATAGTCTACCAATCCAGATTCCTGAAGTTGTACCAGCAGTCAATACCGAGCTCGCTGCTGGATGCAAAGCATTTACGGGACATACGGGAAGACGTGCGCTACGATCCGTCACGCCCGCTCTCCTGATCGTCAGCGACAACTGCGAGCGGATCGTAACTCGCGAAGTACGAGTTGGCGGACGCAACTAACCAGCTGCATCCCGATCTCAGCTGGGCTGAGTGGTACACGGAACGCCTACGCGAACCAGAAGACCGGTGGCCCACTAAACAATAGCATCATGAAGACGATGAAGAGGAAGTCCTGCGCCTGAACCAGCAGGACGATAGCCACCTTGACTGGATGCGAGACCCGACCCGACGAAATTAGAGACGCTGGTGAGAGCAACCCCGAATGTACTGATATTCACGGACATCTACCTAAAATCGAGCGACACGCCTGGAGCTGGAGCATATAGAACTCATGCGACGAGCAAAGGATGTCAACTTTGGAGAAGAATTGATGAGGATCAAAGCAGCACGCCCAATTTTTAGAACGAGACGTCTCTACAAAACTGGACCCTGTGATCGAAGACGAGATTCTTGCTAGTACGAAGACGCATTGGAGCCTCAAGTGCGCCCTCCCAAACAAACCAACCTATAATCTTAGACGGTCTCACCCCATCACGCGACTTCTCGTTGCGAGAACACAGCTCAGCAGCACAGCAACAGAATAACAAATAAATAATCATATAACTACAACCCACCATACGCGCCGTCGAGTATTACTGCGCCCTCTGCCGGGTCACAAAATCAAGGTCCAGAACATCAGCCACAGGACATCTGCCGCGCGCCCGATCCATTCCACCACCCCTTCACGAACTGCGAGGTGGATTACTTCGGGCCTGTAACCGTTACACTGGAACACCGGAGAGAGATAAGGTAGGGCGCACTATTTGTTTATTTATTTATTAAACTTTATTGATCACAATACAAAGGGTACAAAAGGCGGACTTAATGCTAAAAGCATTCTCTACCAGTCAATTTATTTACCTGCCTCTCTCTCTACGGACATGGTTCTAATGGCGTTGCGACGAATAGCAGCACGCCGCGAGTGGCCGCGAGTGATGTACTCAGACAACACCATCATCTTCCGCGGCGCCGACCAAGAGTTGAATGCCGCATACGGATTGGGCACCGGCCCTAAGAGACGAAGGACTGACCCGTCGCATGGAATGGTGCAACATAGCACCAGGCGTTCCGAACCAATGTAAGGGAGCAATCATAATCTTACCTCCTACTGTCAACCTCACCTGCACGCGGTATATCCTGCAGTAACTAACGAGGGCCCTTTGGCGACCGGTCGATGGCGGCAGCACAGTTAAATGTACTTACCACCGAGGAGCAGCAGCGTCGGCGGTACAAATAAAATCAGCAATCGGTACCAATAGAAAGTTGCTCAGCGAGCTATGGAACGAGCTATTGTCGGAGTTTCTTCGAAGGACAAGGTACGGAACGAGGTTATCCGACAGAAAACTAAGGTCGTCGACATAGCTGGTAAAATAAGCAAGCTGAACTGGCAATGGACTGGCCTGTCCAGGCTAGAACCGATAACCGATGGGGGAAGCGAGTTCTGACCACGGCTCGACAGACGTAGTGTAGGACGCCCTCTAGCCAGATGGAGTGGCGATTTGCGAAGGGCAGCTGGCAGCAGATGGATGCAACGAGCTGAGGACCGGAGAGGACTACGATAGACTGTTGATTATGCCCCAAACCAAGTAGGCGCATGGGAACGCATGGTGCGCTCTGTCAAGACAGCGCTGCGAGAGAAAGCACCATTTTATTTATTTTATTTTGTAGATAAGGTACATGAACAATAGTACATATACTTTTAGATAACAGTGTAACTTTACATCATTATTGTATTTATGCCTACCTATTACAGACGTAGGCAGCATTTATTGTAATAAAATAATAATAAGCAACAAAAATAACAACAAAGAACTTATGAAATTACCGGGGACATTATTCGAGAATGTTATTTTTTAAATAATTACTGGAAGAATGAAAAATTTGGTTGGAGTAGAGGATAACCTAGGTAGTGGACTGTGCAGAACTAGCTTAGTCCGGCATCGTGGTACATTAAATGTTTTGGTCATTTTATGACGGGTGTAATTTATAAGGTATTTTATGTAAAAATAGAAGGTCAGATAATATTCAGCAATCTCCAATTTTGAAGTATTGTTATCTTTAAACAAATGGATGTCTACGTAATATACCAGATGAGAAAAAGCTAATTGTTTTATGAACGCACGTTGAACACTTTCAAGTCTTGTGAGGGAGCACAGTAGACTGGGTTCCACACTACACTGGCGAATTTCAAATGACTCTGAACAAGCCCATTAAATAGTATAGTTTGTTAGTTAAAGTCGCGGTGATTAGCCATGGGAAGATTAAGGATGGAACCGAGATCAGTTGAACGGTGTTGTAAAACAAAATTTGTGGATGATGCGGGTCCAATCTGGATAATAAATCAATAGGCAGCGAAACATGCATTATAAAAACTACGAATTATTAAATCTAGCATATTACCGGTCAAATTTTTAATACAATTTGCTTGATATAAATAATTTAAAACGAAAAAATCTGTCAACTGTACTGTGTAACATACCTTCTAATTACCATAAGTATCATGTAAGAGACATCATCTTTAAGATGCCATTTGATAAAATTCAAATTAAAGTCTCCCATAATAACTACATTTTCAATGTTGTTCAGAGCCCCATCTACACTGTTCGGGAAGTGTTTGGGAAGTGTACACACATAAACAACACAAATTGCAATATTTTAACGATTTCCATCAATTGTTACTGTGATATTCACCCACACATCTTCACAATCACTTTCCCAGTTCATAGAAGGGATGTCTCGAGATACAGCGATCAAAACCCCCCCTCCGCCAGATTTAGAAGCATTACAATCTCTACGGTACAGTGTAGCGAAAGTCTACGTCTATCTAATTCCACTACTTGCTATGCAAGATCGGAGGAAGTGCTAAGAACCCTTTTGACCGAAGCCGAGTACTCGATCAACGCTCAGCCCCTAACACACGTGCGTGTGGACCCTCATGACCCCGAGGTCACCACAGTGAACTATTTATTGCTGGGATCTTCGACGGTCCTACCGAGAACAAGACCAAGCGACGAAACCGACCAATTCTGGAGACGCTGAGTACGGAGTTACCTGCCGAGTCTGGTACCAGACACAAAAGACGGCAAGTCAGAACTTACAGGTCGGCGACATACTGGTTATTGTCGACAATACACCACCGAGACACGTATGACCAATGGGAAGGGTAGAAGGCACGTACCCTGGGACAAACGGCAGCGTGCGAGTCGCCGATATCAGAACGAAGACGAAGACGTTCGTAAGACGAACGATTAATAAACGTGGTAGTCAGTCAGTTGAACAAGCGTTTTATTTCCGATCCTGATCCCGAGAAGAGCAAGAACCTGAACAAATGCAGTCCACCGATCCAGATCAAGAGCACCGTCGATCTAGAAGATTTATAAATGCAGGTGACGGCTGTGATGTCATCCACCATCTCATACAACAAGGAGCCGAATACGAGAATGAAGGTAAGTGGGCTTATATGGTTATCCGTGACCAAAAACATTATTACTATTTTACATTTTCTCCGGTCACCGAAAAATACAGTCCACTTGTATAGAATCTTAACTACGAGTATGCCTGTGACTAGGTACGAAACTATGAAAATTGGCACTCAAATTTTGAAATGAAAGCGCAGAAGTAAATAGGCAAGCATTGTTTGCAAGCAATGTTTTGATTTTGAAATAAAATTAAATGGTTTACCTACCAATAAAACAGCCATTGTGCTCCGTGACTTGTCCGGGTTTGGTGAGAGCTGTTGCTGAATTTCAAGTAGAAAACACATTTCAACAACTGGCAACTCTTAATTTCTTCTACTTCTGCCCTCCGTAACGTATCTTGGTAACTGCTCCTGGTGTCATAACTTGGAGATCTTGACCACAAGACAGAGTTCTGCGCCTGTCTTTATCGATCTCTGCATCGCCGTCGTTAGTGACATTCGCCAGTAGTGCCAGTTGTATCGTAATATCGGCACTTGATCGGTCATCGCTTACTCACACTGGTGAAGGTATGAGCAGCGTAATTGAAAAGATCCAGCGACAAATCGCAAAACAGAAGTAGGAGAAGTTGAGGGTTGCCAGTTATCAAAATGTATTTTCTACTTTCTTACAAACGAAATTCAGCAAAAACTCTCTCACCAAACTGGGACATGGTCAAGAATGCGCAATAAAGTAAGATGTTGTCAACTACATGGCATTCCTGTATTTTGCCGAAGAGTATAATTTAACGAATATGTGTGTATATATCATATAGAGAATGTAACATGAGATCCATCTTGATATCTCAAAATCTCAGAAAACCAAATTCAATATCATATTTCCGGATCCACGTAGTCCAATACCGAATAATCATAGATATCATCTGATCTTAATTGTCATGGACGACTTAAACGCTTCTTTCGAACGGTATCGACGTAGTGCTTATTGTGGGCAGTAACGAGCTCATGAAGCTTTGGTGGCAATTCGTCGAGAGAAGGGGCTGTGCCCTCCTCAACATCAGTTCGTCTATAGAACAGAATGTAAGGTGTACTGGCGCGATTGAGATCGTTCAATTGCGACTCGTCGGCGGCAGAGACGATGTCATCATTATACATGTGCCAGCCGTCGTTGTCTTTTGCCAGCGTGTAATAGTGACCCTCATCAAGCGTGGTGCCAGCGTGGATTACGGCCGCGTACAGTGAATAATTCGAATGGTCCGCCTGCGACCGCACAGTCGGCAGCGTCACCGTTGTGTTGTGGTACATAGTGTGCATCAGCTTAGTCTGCACTTGTAGTTTCGGCTCGAACCTGATTGTACAATTCATTTCAGTTAAGACAATTCTGCAAAGCTACAAGCACCAATAATAGACCATATTTATAAAAATGTGTAGTACTCACTTAAAATTCTTCAACACCAGAATTAAAAATTTAGGTGTAGTTTCGATGAGCACGCTCCTCTCCGCATCGCGCAAGCCTCCACAATCGCGACATTCATATTGGTTATCACCGGAAAGGCTTTCCTTCGAGCAATAGTATTCTAAGAGACTCTGTACACTATGCTGCCAGCCTTCCGGCTTCTCGGGAAAGGCGAGCTGGAGATCTCTAAATACGTCACGGGACAATGAAGATGATTGGCACACAGTGCATTCTACACGTGTTAGCAGTACGCCGCCGAACATGCCGTCGACAAAAGAGTCGCGCCGTAGGAACGCCGCATCATGCATACGTAAACGCTTCTTAAGAGGAATATGCGAGTCCGGTAGATCACTGTGGCGCTTCACTGGCCCTGAACTAGAACCTAAAATGGAATCATGTGTCGTTAAACTAGCGTTATGTACCAAATTAGCTATAGTCACATGAATGTAGTACGAACATTAAATAACTTACCAGCAGTGCTGCTGCCCGGCCTCGGAGACACTGAACGACGGTTACAACTGGGGTCATGTTCAGTGTCACTAGAATATCAGAAGATATTGTTGAAATACAAAAATATACATCATTACTATTCACTACTAAGTCTTTACTAATTTTTAGAAGCGCTCTCAACCAAATTCTGTTGTATGTTTATTGTACTTAAATTCAGCTGTTTAACAAGTTGTAGTTGCATATAGTAAAATTTTACCTAGTAGTATTAGAGGGCGAAGCTTGTCCTAGCTGAGGCTGAGCAACGCGCGTGCGGTTCACACCGGAGAGGATCGCAGGCCGCGAGTAGTCAAAATTGCGATCCGACATGTGCTCATATGACTGCAGAAGCTCAAACAAATACCTGCATAATAATTAAAATATTATCTATGGAATGAAAGAGGAAATCTATGAATTGGGTTCAATAAGGCAAGCGTCCCCTTTAAATTCGGTTGTTATCAGTCATAAATTTATGTTAAACAACAATAAGAATACTGAGCCAGACTACCTCTCCAATGGAAAGTTATTTATTGACAGCCTTTCAGTTATTTTTAACTATTTAATAATAGGCACTGGCACGGCATGTTTGAATACGCTGGTTCGAATCCATCCGGATTGAAGGATTTTTTTATGTTCGTTCTTTGTATTACCATTATAATGTTATTAAAATTAGTGGAGTTATTGCACAAAAAAATATTGAATATCATGGTACTAAAACATCGTGGCATTCAATCTAGTTATTCAGTCTAGTTTTCAAAATGTATAATACATCATTATCATTACATACACACACTAAATTACAAGTAATGAATAAAGATTGTCGCGTAACGTAGGCAGTTAGGTGCAGGTAAGAACTTCATACATACCCTAAAAATTCCGAACTGTCATGTTGGTGATCTCTTGTGAAGAAAGGCGGTTTCACGACAGCGAAGAATTCGTCAGGATTCAATTTGGTGCAGATGGAGTGCATCATTTTTGCAAAAAGTACACCCATCTTGCTCCAGTAAGGTACCGAGTTCATTTTTAGAACTACGTGTGTGCTGAACCTTAGAACCGAAAGATAGGATGTGTTATCAAATATTTAAGAAAAAGTATGAAACAAAAATTAATAACACTAATGAAATGCAGAATACTTTTCGCAATAAAAGTCTTATTCAATATAGAATTATATTAAGTAAACTTAATTACGTTTTCAATTTACCCTACACTTCTACTTTCATCAATAGCTAAAATAAATACACTTTGCTTTTAAACAATACACTGTACGGGACTCGAAAACCAATGTACAGCGTTAAAAGGCACGCTAAGAATTATAGGACAGTCAGTTACTTATAGGAATTAAAAGAATTCTTACTTTGTATAAATATCATCCATAATATGGCGAGACATAACATTCTGACATTAAATGAAATTTTCGTTACTGCCTCCGCAAAAGCGTGAAAACGGCTATACCTACAACTGGGGCTTGTGAATACAGTAAACGTAATTAAAGATTTTTAAATTGCTGTTTGGTAGATGGAATTTGCAAAAAAGATATAGATGTCGAAGAACACGACATAGTGTACAGTAGCAAAAGTTGTATATGTACCAGTGGTGAACGGTGGTTATCTGAAGTAGGGACGAAAACGCAGAAGGTAAGAAGCAAACATTATAATGCAACACTATTTATTGTCGCCGTAGCATGCCACCACGATAAACCCATAATATCTACATATATATTTTTTTATAATATCAAGTGACGGGACGAACAAGTCGTGCGCCTGATATTTCACCAGCACCATTACCCTTCAAAACCAGAGCACAGTAATGCTAACATTACAGCATGGCGGTAGAAATAGGTAAGGTGGCAGAACTTCCCTGGACGAACTCTTTCACAAGGAGCTCTACAGCTTACAAAGCTGTCAAATTCGAATGATAAAACTGACATTTTTAAATTTTATCACAATAGCGAACAAGGTGGGCTCCGTGACGTCACATTTTTGTCGCACCGCGCGCGCTGCAATCAATGGCTGTGAAAGAATATCGCAGTGGCAAGCATGGCCACAAGCTCACAACTGCATTTTGACAATTATGCAAGGTAATTTTATCAACGTAAAAATTGAGCTCGACAAACAAGACAAATAGAAATTAAAAAAGAAATAGGTGAGAACATTTTTAATACAGTTCTATACGAATAGAGAAATGTCAATAAAAATATCTTCCTTTCATTTAGCATTTTTCTTGTTTAGTAACGCATTTGCTATTCCATTCGCGAAAAATAAATAAAATTGAAAAAGTTGAAAAAATACTGTCTATTAATTGCCTCCAATGCAGAAAATTTGCATTAGATTTCCCATTGATGAGATTTCTCAGCTACTATGTTGTCAGTTATTGGGTAAGACTTATTATTTAAAATCCAGCTTCAGGTATTCAAAACCTATGTTGTCAATTGCATTATTATTTCATTATAATACATAACTTAAAATTATAAATTTCTGTATCATCATTTCGCTACTGCCATTAAAATTTTTCCTTAATATTTAGAATAAACATCACACAAAAATTATAGTCACCGACACGATACACTTATCCATTATATTTAAGCCACGATTTAATGATAATATTAATTGAAAATTATATTAACTTTAAGTGCGTTTATTGACTTTTAGCAGCGATGCAGTAGCGATGCAGTCGCCAATCATCTACCTTTACACACGCGCGCAATTTTAAGCAGCAATGCAAACGCGATGCAAGCACACGACTGTATCGATACAAACGCGCGATTGCATCGCTGCACTTGGGATTTATAGGTGATTTCATCGATGCAATCGCGCGTTTATATCGACCCAATCGCGCGTTTGTATCGATGCAATCGCCTATAAATCGCAAGTGCAGCGACACAATCGCGTGTTTCGCGAACGCGCGTTTGCATCGCTGTTAAAACTCACCATGTGTAACCACGCTAAGTATAATAGAAAATTATAATCAACCAACATGAATTCTTATTTATATATTAGTCGTACGTACGTGATAAATGTTTGCGGGTATGGATATGGGGACACAGCAAGTAATTAACATAATCCTTTGTTTCCGTAAAGCTCGAATTACTACGAAGCTTTCATTTCGGAACATACAACAGTACTGTACGCACTTTATGCACTACATTATATAACGTAAATAGAGCCAGTGAGTGGCATAACACTGAATCCCGAAAAACAGTTTTGCCTAATTTGGAATTCGAGAAATTCTTTATAAGGCTTTTTCACAGTTCTGAATTATTAACATCTCTAAATGTTTGACTCATTATCCTCCTCCTTTTTGTAGATAGTTACAAATTCATCAGGCACTATTATCATTAATACCTACCTCTTACCTAATCAGCCGTTCACGTGCATAGAGCTTATACATATAAATCTTTATAAGAAACAAGCAAATATTTAGCGATCATTAACGCTGTTCACGTTTTTATAAGTACAAAAACTGTTTCAATCACAAACCTCTTGTAAAAGTGAACTATCAAGTAACCACCAATCTCTGTTACCAATATTAACTGGGGTAAAAGTGCAACATAGCATGAAAGTGTCAACCTATAATACAAGTAAAGACTGATGAGCAAAGTTAGAAAGCTATAAAAAGCTTGAAACAAAAGTGGCAAAAAGAAATCCGCAGATGCAAAAAAAAATGTAAGGCTAATTGTAAAACATTCGCATTAGTAGGAATGGAAACTATTTTTTCGGATCTAAATCGCGTATATTTGTTTTTTCAAACAAAAACAACTTTTTTTCAAAAATAAAGGTTTGTTTGAAAAAACAAATAAGCGCGACTATGAAATAAAAAAATAGTTTCATTTCCTATGTGCAACAATCTTCAAAACCTAAGAATTCGATATTCGCATTAGTGTCATAAAAATGGCAACGATATTTTTTTAACAAAATGTGTACGGTCACAGCATGTACAAAATAATCTTTGTCGTTCACCATGCAAAAAAGCTCACGTACTAATTACACACAATTTTGAAATTGCGACAATAGAGTAGTAGGTATTATCTAGTGTTTGCATTAGGGATGTTGGGTAAGTAAGGCCTCATAAAAATGTCAGCCCTAACTGAAAAGATAATCATCTAGACGAAATATGATACTCACTGCCTGGTGACGAGCAGAGCTTGCATGACGCTGTTCATGTAGCACGTGTTACCGAGGTTGAGCAGGCCAACTTTGCGCATGGGCGCATGCGTCGCCACTGTCGGTAAGCACACATTGCGCGCGCGCCACGGGCTCAACTGCAGGAACCGACTTTCGCGTGACGCCATGTGCCGTTCCAGCCATAGAATCTATTAGAACAATCCATTTGTGTAATTACCAGTTATTGGAATTGAGGCAGTAAACTAAATAATAATGTCGACATTCCCTTATACAAATCCCAGGTCTTCTTAACTTATTATATTTGAATATGTGTATTACCTATTGAAATATGAGTACGTTGGCGACAATTATTTCCTATTAAGTATTAGCTACAAATTATTATCTCAAAAAAAAATTTGCCTTTTGAAAATAGCATGAGACAACCTATATTTTGGAATGTTTAGAAAATAAACTGTAAAAAATACATTTTATTTAGTGATGACGAAATGGTATGTCCATACATATGACAATAAATGGACGTCGGGTCCGCGGTTAAAAGTGTCCGAACCAATAGGGCATGAAATCGTAAAAAGAGCATTAAGCTTACATTAAACTTAGTCTTCGTTTGGTCTGTTAATCATGCCGTACTATATAATAAAACTTATAAAAATTACCCAAGTAAAACGAAAAAAACAAGGTGCATCATATTTCCGTTAAGTAATATCGTGTTATCGTAGTTATTCTCATTTAAAAGTGTTATTTTCTACAATAGGATAATATTTGATTTATATTGAAATTAATCATAAATATTACAAAAGCAAGCAATACTCATACAACAACTAATACCCTGATAGCATAACGGTTATGTTATAGTATATATATATATATATTATATACATATTCCAGATCTTGAAAATTTAAGTTTACGTTTACTTGGATTCTAGAAATTCGAAACATCGATACATTTGTTATATCACTTCATAACTACGAAGGAGACACAGTTTCACATTAATAATATTCGTATGATCTTCACAACTCTTTATCATTTCTTTGGTTGAATTTGTACAAAATTCAACACTAAATTATGAATAAATTAACTAATATTGATAGTAGAGGCTACTCCATAAATTTTGTGTTTGTGTAATATTTCTGTAGTATAGTATGTCTTTTTTGAAAACGGACAGTCCATTGCGCAAAAGTGTCGCCCGCTTGCAAGCAGCTAGTGGTTACAGTCGATAAATATTCCATCTACTATCCACTGAATGTTGGTTAGGCTTATCCAATAAATCGCCAAACTTGTTTCATTTGAAACATCATCGGCCCACTATTCGTCCAACTACTGACCACTTTTCAATTCAATATAGATAATCAAATCTGCCTGTTTCTGTTAAAATACACATCATAAAAACTGATTTCGATACTAGTAGGTCGACCGTCTAAATAAAAATGAAGAAAGCAATAACACTAATAACATTAGTAACCATTCGAACGTTGTAACAATTACAGTTCTGATATATTTGACAAGATTTTACCTTCTTTCACAATCTATCGACTAAACTGTCGACAACATCTACATGACTATTTAAAATTTTATGAAAACTAGCAATCCTGCAAATGTCATTTTACTCCGTATTCAAAAAAGACAAACTTTTGTTTTCACTAGACGTTAATCATATTTAACTTCCTCATTTTATTAAGATTCCAGTAGAAGTCGAATGTGGTGAATTTTTGGGTCTTTAAATTGTTGCAAGCAAAATTAAGCAGTACTGCAATAAAGTTACTATTTAAATTAAATATTTCACTTTTTTTATATTTCTTTACATGTCACTATGTTTATATAGATCAAACTCGAGTAATTTTTTCGTGGTTTTTGTATTACACCCGTCGCCCACCTGTTAGTAGGTGAATGAGTCAATACTAAGAAAACGTCCATATTTTGGGTAAATTAAATCCCTCAATTCCGATCACTGGTAAATACGTCGTGGTTTCTCTAGTAGACCTTAGTTCAGAAGATCAAACAAAAGACCGCACGGATTTTCTAGTAACCAAAACAATAGATAAATATTTTAACAAAAACTGGATTCTAATAACCATATAACATTTATCAAAACGTCTATTAAGGGTAATTTTCAGGTTAGTTTTCTCTCCCTAATTCCGGTGGCGATTTTTATTATTCAAATATTCGCGTTTATTATCGTGAAATATTAAATAATATGTCAGGCAATTACACTCGAATATTAAATAATACTTCATGATAATATTTCAGAATAATAAAAATTGCCACAGAAATTAGGTGAAGAAAACCAACCTGAAAATTACCCTTAACTCACATCGTTGGTGGACAATATCAATACTGTTAATAAACAATCTTCAATAGCTTACCACATCCGAATATTTGTCTTTAAACATTTCCTGAGCTTCGCCTTTAAACGACTCTACGAGGCCGTCGACCATCGTAGTGAGGATATCAACTACGTTCTGTAGAAGTTGACGGCTCCACTGACCACTGTCTGCGGCCAAGTTCATCAGAACACGACCAACATGTGGTGCAATCTTAAAAAACGAAATAAAAAACTTAATACCTATTAAACTCAAAAAATATCTTCCGAACGATAATTTCCAAATAAGATATAACTAAATATCTCATCGAGATAATTTATAATTAGGAAATAATGGATATAGAGACAATAATTTAACTATAATGTCACCAAAGTAACTACACCTATGGTGTAGTTCCTTTGGTGACATGGATCAACAAGTCAAAAACAATAAAACAAAAGATCAACAACAAAAATAAATCAAAACAATTACTCCAAAACCCGACGCAAACGCTAAAGTAAAAGAAACTACCCGTACACAAGGCATATGCACTCGTATGTCGCGGGACGATTCGATTTATCGAGGTTATGGTGTAAATCTCTATATATAAATATCATATAGCATCAAGTAGTTGTTTATTTTATTTTTATCATTTCGCATAATACCAGGTAGCGTGAAACGACCGACAAAGCCTAAAGCCGCGTTTATATTTATCTGACGTGACGTGTCGTGATGTGCTCTAAAGTCATGGCAAACGTTCACACCTATATGTGTTCTGACGCCTTCTGACGATATTTTGAAACAATACCGTTGTGGATGTCGGACAGTTCATACGTTCGCAATGTTTTCTCTTGAATCACCCGATTGTGATTCAGATTATGAAGAAATTCAATTCGTGATGATGACAACTACACTAAAAAAGAAGGAAAAAATGAGAACATATTGGGTTCATCCAAGGAATAAAAAAGAGAGGCTAATGGCGAGTTTCACTGTCTCGTTAAAGAACTTGATAGCGACGATGAAAGATTTCATAAATATTTCAGAATTCCTGTGGCACTATTCGGCTTTGACGCGTCACAACACAGCACTGGTTCGTGCATATTTGTCTGATCTGACGTGACGCGGCTGCTCCGCCCTCGAAAAAATTAACAGCCGAAAAATTCCAGGTTTGCGGACCAATCCCTACATTAAAAAAATTTATACAATAATAATAATAATCAAATTAGTCATTTCAAGTACTGTACGCACCCTGTCGAGGGCTTCGGTGGACTCACGCAACGACGCCAGGACGTGAAATATGACATCAGTGACAGACTGACGTAGATCCACTGGGCGATCTAAGGCAAGAAATAAGTGTCCCAAATTGTCCACAGACACTTCCAATAATATGTCAAAGCTCTCGTTTTCCTGGAAAATATAATGTAGATTAAGGTGTGCACACTAAATGAGTCATAGTTTTTGTATCAAAATATTTTTTATTCAAAAGTCGAGTCATAGAAAACCTCTATGATTAGACCTTTACGTTATTAAACCTATACAATTGAAAAAAAAATCATCAAAACTTGTGTTTGGAGTACCGCACTGTATGGATGCGAAACATGGATAATCACAAAAAATACATGGAAAGATTGGAGTCATTTGAAATGTGGAGCTGGAGGTGAATGGAAAAAATCAAATGGATTGAGACGATATCAAGTGAAAAAAGGTTAGGTTAGTTTAGGTTCTAAAAAGGGTTAGGGGAAAAAAATCTTCTAAATACAATGGGACAAAACGAAACGAAACAGAAAGGGAAAATGTTTGAACATTTGTTACGTAATGACTAATTTGTGAGAATTGTAATTGAGGAGAAAATAGAAGAACAAAGAGAGAGTGGAAGACCAAGAACGGCGTACATTGAATAAATAAAGAACATCAAAGAGAAAGAGGTCAAGGAGCTAGCTATGAACCGTGAGGAACGAGGAGGCTACACCTACACGAGTCTGGCTCTTAAATGGATTGTGGTGATAACAAAACCGCTAAGATAGATGTTTAAAAGTAGTCCAAGAATTAAACAATTATACTTTTTTTTACATAATTCAATAGACGTTATAAAATCCTTAATTGGACGAACATCTCACGGGTACAGCGATTACAACGCCGATCGATTATCAACCATATGTTTAACCCAGTTCTGCACATTTATACCAAGATCGCCAAGAATAGGCAGCCCAATCGATACGTCTCTTATTGGAATTAGCAAGAACGGTAAGTGAGTCTAACGTTTGAGAACACACCTCCAGGGCTTTGATGAAAGCAGTGACCCAGTCACCAAGAGCAGGAGTACCATGCCACTCATACATCCAACGATAGAGACATGAGAGCGAAGCGCGTAGACCTGCGCCAGCTGGTCCATTCTCCCCCTGCTGTACCAGCCACCGAGCCGCCGCCAGGGTGGCCTCGGGATCCGATCCATCAAGAACTATTAGGACCACTGATGTGGCAGGGCAAGCATCGGATTCTGTTCCAATATAAAATATCACGTTATATACACCTTAGTCAACGACAAATAATAAAATTAAACTCAATAATGTAAACACTATAATCTAAAATCACTGGAGTTTACTTACGTGGATCAGATATTAGGGAATAAAATTTGTCAAGGATCGCTGTGACGATCTCGTGTCGAACGTCGCGGTGCACTGCATTCACAACGCGCAAGAGAAACTCTTCAACGGATTGCAGTAGATTCCATAGTTGTTCTTCGTTCCCAGCTGCGCGGGCTACCCGTTCAAAAATAAGACACCAATATAAATAATACCAAAAAAGAAATTAAAAAGCAGTAACTTAGCACCGGCTATATTCTCGATGCTTAGCGACAATCACACGCCTCAAGATAAAAAGTCCAAATTAAAAAAACTTACAAAGACACCTCACGATGTCTTGACAGTTTTTAACGAGCTCGTGAGCTGGTGGTAGGTAAGTGGGCTGCTCGTTCATGAGCCGGATGTACTGCGCGAGCACCTCCAGGTCCAGGTGGTTACGATTATCGTGTACGAGCTCGTGCTTTTTTACAGCCATCACGGTGGCAGCTAACTCCTCCTAAAAAAGAACAAAGATAATAACTGATAATATAAATATCACTATTTGTGCTCAATAAGTCTAGGAAACAAGGTTATTATAATACTTTCTCATACTCAACAAACTACTTCCATATATGCTATACACCAAATGCAGAGTTAATTCGTTTTAATAATATAGTAATAAAAGGATAAAAAAGAAAAAAATTGTGACAAATTACATTGTGACAATACAAAAAATATACAGGGTGTCCCAAAACTCAACGTCAAGCGGTCACTGGGCGAGAGGCCAGGTTATATCAGTTCTGGTAAAAATAAAAAAAATCCATCTCACTTAGTTAAGTGATAACAGGCATTTTTTTGAAAATGTTGAATTTCGATACCCTGGACCACATGTTTAGGTACTGTCATCACAAATTTTCAAATTTTGGAGTGATTTTTTTAACGTCATCATAAATAACCATGCTATTTATTGCAGTCACAAATCAAACAATAAACGTTATGAGTTTAGTAAAAAAACAAGTTTCATTGAGTCGTAGCTTAAAAAAAATATGCCAGCTAGCTTTGACATTTCATTTTTTTTTAAATGTACTACACTACTCTGGGCAAGTTATTTTAAAAGATGACCCCATATAATCAAGATTTCAAAATACTTGCCACTCTTCATTCCATAAAAAATATTATAACTTATGTTTTGCAAAAGGAGCTCGTTTCAAAAAAAACTCATGCCATGATAAATAATACTTTTGTGTGCTCAAAGATTGGCTTTAACATCGCGGAAGTGAGATGGTCATATGTGATAGAGAGATGAATAGATGGATAGTGACACTGTGCGACATGAATTAGAGTGAGCGAGACGGATAGTGACGCCGATGCTCTATTATTGATCATTGCTTATTATCATTTAGTACGCTACGTTCCTTCGTTTACTGTGCATCTTCTCATAATCGTGTAATTTTTGTACTGACGACTTTGGCTTGTGTTACCCTGGACTTGATATTGCATCTGTGTTGACGACTCTGGCTTATTCCCTGGACTCGATTTGTGTTGTGTAAACTGTATTAGTTAGTACTTAGCAAAACTAACACGTTTCGCGACATGCCGTATCTGTACACAGCGGAACAATATGTGAACATGCATCTTAATACAGTGAATGCCATTGTAATGCCTCTGCCGCAGCCAGATTGTATCGCGAGAGGTACCCAAACTTAGAGCGTCACCCAGATCACCGCGTGTTCGTCAATGTACACCTGGCATACTCGGAAGGACGACTGCCTAGTGCTCGTGCGAGCGGTGGAAGACCTCAAGGAGACGACGACGACGTAATTTTAGAAGAAATTCAAAATGATCCCAGCACTTCAGTACGTGCGATTGAAAGAGCCACTGGAATACCGAAAGCTATTGCTCATCGAATTTTAAAACAACACGAATATCACCCGTATCATGTGCAACGTGTACAAAGTGACTACTCTCTCAGAATGGATTTTTGTAGAACAATGTTGGTGAGAAATCGTGAAGATCCGCAATTTATAAACAAAATTTTATGGACTGACGAAACAACATTTAAAAAAGATGGTTATTTAAACTTGCACAATGTACATGACTGGCACACGGAAAACCCGCATTTAATGCGTGAAGACCGGTCCCAATACCAATTCAAAGTCAACATGTGGACCGGAATTTTAAATGGACAAATAATTGGACCGTTTGAGTTGCCTGAAATATTAAATAATAATAATAATAATAATATTAATAATAACGCTCACACTCAACATAGCCCCGCACTAGGGAAACCCTGTGTCGCGGGTGCCATGGACACACACATAGACAACCACAAATTACACCCAAACTCACGAGAGAAATAAATGTAGGCCATATAAATATTTCTCCCAGCCCGGGAATCGAACCTGGGACTTCTGCGTGGCAGTCCGGCGTGGTAACCGTTCGGCCACGGAGGCAGTTAAATGGCGACAACTACTTAGATTTTCTTCAAAACGATTTGCAAACGTTACTAGAAGATGTACCACTCAACATCTATAGAGAAATGTGGTTTCAACAAGACGGTTGCCCAGCGCATTATGCTCGTTCTGCACGTGATTGTTTAAACACGGAATATTCCGGAAGGTGTTGGTTCAATTTTGTGGCTTCCTCGATCTCCGGACCAAGGGGGTTTACCCCTTGATTTTTTTTACTGGGGCTGCATAAAGGAAAAAGTATATGCAAAACCTATAGAAAATCTAGCCCAATTACGCCACAAAATTGTTGAAGCAGTAGAAGAAATTCAAGTTTGAGAAGATTCGCACGATTGATAAAAAGATCTTTTGTGAGGCGATGCAGAGCCTGTATTCGTGCCGAAGGCAAACAATTTGAGTATTTACTTTAACATTAAAGTATTACAATAGTTCCTTTCGTTTCATTTTGATTAAAATTTATTATAATACAACAATCGACTAATTATTAAGTTGACAAACTCACATGTGTTAGGGTAGATTATTTTGTTTAATGCGTTGTCACTATCCATCTCACTCTATCACATACGACCATCTCACTTCCACGATGTTAAAGCCAATCTTTGAGCACACAAAAGTATTATTTATCGTGACATGAGTTTTTTTTTGAAACGAGCTCCTTTTGCAAAAAATAAGTTATAATATTTTTTATGGAATGAAGAGTGGCAAGTATTGTACCATTTTGAAATCTTGATTATATGGGCCATCTTTTAAAATAACTCATCCAGGGTAGTGTAGTACATTTTTAAAAAATATGAAGTGTCAAAGCTAGCTGACATATTTTTTTTAAGCTACGACTCAATGAAACTTATTTTTTTTACTAAACTCATAACGTTTATCGTTTGATTTGTGACTGCAATAAATAGCATGGTTATTTATGATGACGTTAGAAAAAATCACTCCAAAATTTGAAAATTTGTGATGACAGTACCTAAACATGTGGTCTAGGGTATCGATTTTCAACATTTTCAAAAAAATGCCTATTATCACTTAACTAAGTGACATGGATTTTTTTTTATTTTTACCAGAAGTGATATAACCTGGCCTCTCGCCCAGTGACCGCTTGACGTTGAGTTTTCGGACACCCTGTATAAAATAAAATAAATCTATTGTAATAGTGAAAATTACTAAAATAAAAATCAATGAAATAAGTTTTTTAATAGTCAGTCGGACTTGCCAAGGCTCTACAATGGCGAGATACACTAAGTATGCGGTTGTCAATACTCCCTTGTGGAATAAAGATACTATACTCTGGAATAATGTGAAAAAAGTTCTTCTACTGTGTGTAAATTCTGAGGAAGATCACTGAATGCTTTTCACCTTAGCAAATCCCGCAAATGCTCAATAGGATAAACGAGATCAATTCTTCCTCTCAGATGAATTCCAGCCCACACCATTATCATTTCGCCATAGTATGAATGAAATTCCTGAGGATTCTAGAGACGACTTGTGCAGCCAGGAACTCACCAAACTCGCACTCTTCTTGAATCGGGATGAAAATCAAAACCGAGACCGTCGGTAAAAAGCAGACGCGGCCACTGACTTTCATTATTTTACATATTTAACATTAGCCAACTATAAACGACATCCTCGATTTCCTTGTCGTAGAACTGGAACTCTTAGCGATCTCAGTGTATTAAGATGGACTTGACACAGGGACTGCAGTCTGTCAATCAGTTGTAAAGTTGTAATATGAAGCTGTCTCTTTGCAGTATTTTCCAAAAACGATTTTGTCTCTGACATTCGACTACATTTCCAGCAGCCCTGTAGCGTGTCCAAGATCGGCAAATTACGCTTGGCTGCGAGTTAACACCAGCTACAATATCACGCTGATGAAATGAATGAGTACGAAACTCTAGGAGTAAATTTGAATATACATTTGAATACATTTAACATTCACAATATTTATTTCCAACATCTTAGTTTGCGACTACCTGCAAGAGAGAAACGGGTCACTACTGCGGATTCTTGTCATCCAAGTGCGTACTTGGAGTCTCTGCGTAGAAACTGTATAATAACCTACAATATAAAGTTTTTGCTTCACTATAGTTTTAGTTTAGTTTTTTAAATTTCATTCATTCATTCATGAAACCTCATAAATGGCAAATTTTAAGTATCGAAAGGAATCGTATTACAGAAGATTATAGATTGCCCCTTACATGAATTTGTGACTTTGTGAAGCAAATGCAGCCCCTCATCACTGCGATGATCAACTGACCATCACTAAATACAATTTCAAATTCTCAAACACTTAAAAAGCTCGTACCTATTACTTAGGCCATTCGGCAAAGCCTCGTCATGTAAGCAGGGTACTAGACTTTAAGAATCCTCATTATGCAATGATTGCATAAAATACTATTAACTAAGTATCTGTGAACAGCAAAGTTAAAAAAATATGCCAAATTTTAAATCACTACTTATTAAATATTAGTAAAATTTTTGCCTCATACATCTTTTTACTAACAATTTCATACAATTATCATTACCATATTTTACCAATTATTTTTATAATTTTTTGTTAGTCAAATGGTAAAGTTGAATTTTTGGAAAATCCTTTCAATAAATTAATTCTTCTTATTAGCAACACTTTCAGATACAAGGAATCACTATTTATAATTGTATTAAAAGATATAAAAAAGTTTGTAATTTTTCAAATAAAGTACAGACAGTGTTTGTCAAACCTATAGTTATACATGTATGCACCATCTTTAGCTGTGTATGCAACAGAGGGGAAAAGACTATTGACATTCATCACTAAGTTTCTTTTGTTTGTTATGGTCATTTAGATGTCACCTTTTACCCCTAATAAAGTCAACTGAATATGCTTCTGGCCATCGACTGAGTCATTATTAAGCAATTTTGATATTCATTAATCAAACAAGTACTAAGAAATTTACAAAAGTTTATACTTTCAAGTATTTATCTACATCTAACATTAATGTTTTATTTTACTCAATATTGTTACACGGTGGAGTAATAATGCTAATCCACTCATAACACATGCCCCAGGTTTTGGTCAGGTCAAAGGAAAAACTTGGGCTTTTGACTCTATCCACCAGACAGAAACCTGCAATTCAATATTAACTGTTGTCATGCTTTATGTTTTGCGATTATAGAAGAATCTTTTCATAAACTGGTGTAGCTGCTGAATGCTGATTGACCTTGAATTTGAACTATTATTGCAATGCTTTTCATCAACCAGCTTTCAACGTTTAAGTTAAAATGTACAAAATACACATCATCTAATTTTGTAAAGAGTGGGATTAATTACCCAGCAATGACAACATTTTTTAATTTTATTCAAAGTTATCACATATTTCATTGAGCCATTGATGTTTAAAAACTGGTTCTTTATTGTTGTACAAAAATTTTAATAGGGTCTATATCCTATACACATAATTCAGGATAAAATATTAGTTCCTTATGCAGATACTTAAACCATGTATGCGAGCCACCTGTAGCTCTCACACTTATCTTAAAGGATTACATTAACTTAAGTTCTAAAAGTAAAAGAGACCTAGTAGGCATTTATTGCTTATTAGTCATAAAATGTGTTTGAGGTGTTATTTTAATAGGTCGTAATTATTAATAAATAATTAGGCACCTAATCTAATAACATTATACCAAATAAATTAAATACTAAAAACATAAACTAAAAGTATCCACATATAAAGCATTATAGTACAAAAATGATTAAAATAGGACCACACTCACAAAACAAAATGTACAATAAGAAAATTGCAAAATACACAAATAAAACAATGACACAATGTAATTATATCCTGGTTGGCTTGCCATTTCAGCAGTAACTTCTATGCTTGGATCTGTAGGAACTACCATAGCAGCTTAATGCTAGCACAAATGTCCACCTTTTACTGATTGCAAGTTGAAACTGCATCAATAACTTCCAGATGAATGACAGAGATGTGGGGTGCAGCCACCCTACAAACATGCGCATTTCAGCCTAGGTCTTACTTACCTATTTTACCTAGTTGCTTGTCTAACAGGATATAAAATGGCCACCTGATTACGTCGCTCTGAAACTAACTAGAAAAATCACTTACCTATGTAAATCAGACGGTGCTCGAACTCACTCACTAAGCGCAGGTACACCAGTTCTCATCAATAGTCAAGAAATACATTGTCCTTCACCTTTTAAATCTATGATAAAATACTGAAGACAGCATTGTTTTAGATCGTTCTCGGATCACAGCAATATAACACTATTGCAACTTGACCCACAAATGTAAATAGAGTAAAACACGCACATTTAAACACATTTAAATTCATCAACAAAAATATTATTTAATCAAACTTGACCACTGAGATTAAGAACGCACGGAATACACAGTCTGGAACTTTTATTAGAAGTAATCGTATATCTAGAGACTTTTGTAAAATTAGAAGATAATAAAATACTCCGTAAATAACGTGCAGTTCCAAAAATGAAGACTCGAAATTGCGCTTTAGAACACAAAAGATTGATTTTATACAGCAAAATCTTCCATTATCCCACTGTGTAATTTCTTATTCTTTTGTCTATGGCTATGGCTAAAAGCATAGAGAAAGACTATAGGTAATTAAACATTTTTATATAAATTTTAGTGCTGTCCTAAAACTTTAACGACATATGCTAAATAATTCAATAACAGCGAAAAAACATTAAGAAAATTGCACAAAAAACAAAAAATAAACTGAAGAAAAGGACATGTTGCAGAAGCTGGCAAGTTCCCCGTGGGTACAGGTACCATAGATCATACACCATAATAAAGTCCTACTCTGTTGCATATGGGTATCAAAATATTATATTACAGTGAATACTAAAAATAATCTAAGATATGGCAAAAACGGCTGTTTTTCAACAAAATTAATTGTACTATCATACGGTTTTCAATAACTGTTATTGTAGATGGTAGTAAAATAACCTCATATTCCGCTGTTAATTGTAGTTTTGCAAAAAACAATAAAATAATAGGGAATGAATATTGGACAGTGTTGCCAGATAGTTAAATCTCTTACATTTTTCGTAACTTCTGATCTTCTGGCGCAATATGCACTGTCAACTATGTTTTGTTATTGTAAATGCTAAATAGTTTACGAACGCACCCAAACTAAACAAAACAGTTACACAGAGATAGCGCAAACAAAATTAAATCTATCATTAACTAGATTAGCTCAATTTTACTAGAGCGTTCTTACTTTTTATTTTTAGGATTTAAACACATTTAGGCGTCTATGTAACCGTAGAAGACATATTACATTATTATGAATATTCGAAACTAACGATTATATGCGTGTGGTTTCCTTTCAAATATTGAGTACATACCAAGTATCAATAAGCCTAATATAAAAATTACCAATGAAACAAAAAGTGCAACTAAAAATAATATTCTTTATTGCACCAAAAAATGGAACCAAAATTTAAATTACATAAAAGATTATCAAAGGTAGTTCACCTCTAAAAGATATTTCTTCCAGCCAACACACGACAACTACCAAGCAACGAAGTTTTTTCTACTTTTAATTCGAACTGATCTCCGAAATAAACGACCTGGCCAAAGCTTCAGAGATACATATATGGTTTTAAAACAAAAATTATCAAGGTCTCTCGTCAGAATCTATCAGGACCAATAATATTTCAATATAGAGAATAAAAGATAGCTGCCATACAAAATTGAGTTTGCTGAATCTCTGCAAATATGGATGATGTACGGGTAGTGTCTTATGGGATATTTAAAAATACGACTTGACGCGATAATGCCCATGCCTATCATATATATGACCAATAGAACTAACCAAAAAAAATTCTAAATCAATAAATACAACTAACAAACACTGCCGTCCACTAAGTAAAGCGGCTAAATAACAAAGGTCAAATATCCGTTTTAAATAACAAACGATAGAGCACAAAATTATCTTTTAAAAACAGTTCAAACTAGTTAACGTGTTAGACTTATCGGAACTTACCTTAACGATGCATAGCTGAAATATCGTTAAACAATTTCAATATTCTGAAACTGGATTATGGTTTTAAATGATATCTCAAAGAAACATTTTGACACTTAGCCGCATTTTAGTTAGCGGACGGCAGAATAGTTGCAAGCCTAATACACAAACCTCACTGACATTTAAGTAACTGTCAGAAGGAACAGAGATCATTTAAAATTATTCACGGGAATAGTGGTCGAAAGGATTCAGTAAGTAATCAGGTAGGACAGAGGCTGCCCGCCAAAGCGTCGTAGACGGGCGCATGGCTCTCATATAAAAGTTATTAAGGACTTTGGTCAGGTTCTATAGAAATCAAAAATTTTATAATATGGCAAATGCAAAATGGCCACCGTAAACAATTGACTTTTCTGAATCTTCGCAGCTGTCAATGATATACGAATGGTTTCTTCTGAGATATTTAAGAATAATACTTGACGCGTGTCAGAGCATGGATGTGCAATCTTTTACATAATGTCACACCACATTGAGAGTCGTATTCTAGAACTCTTTTCAATGCTCAAGTCAGGATTGCACTGGCAACACAAGCACTGGAAATACGACCCTAATTGCAGGGACTTGAGTATGATTTCGAGTGCTTTAAACCATACTCAAATCCTGACTTGAACATTGAGTAGAGTTCTAGAATACGACCCTGAGAGTCGTATTCCAGAACTCTACTCAATACTCAAGTCAGGACTTGAGTGTTGCAGTGAGCACTGAAAATCATACTCAAGTCCTTGCCATTAGGGTCGTATTTCCAGTGCTTGAAATCAAACTCAAGTCTGCTCAAATCCTGACTTGAGCATTGAGTAGAGTTCTAGAATACGACCCTGAGAGTTATTCTTTTTCAAATTTAAATTTACTTTTGTTACCTCGCAGAAATCTTTTCATGTCAAGTTGTGTTTTGTTCCGTCACATATGTATAATTTAATAAAAACCTTTATTAAAACATTAAAATCAGTTTTCTCATTTATTGATAGAGCCGGAAGAGCTCTATCAGGTTATGGGAACCAGCAGCTACTAAATATTGAGTGAGCAGATTTAGTACAAAGAGTGTACGAACGTGATTATGTAATATGAATCATATAGAGATTAATGGTGAGATTAACCAAACTCCTATAATACTCTAGTTAGAGAAATGAGTATTATGTCGGGGTCTGGACTTCCTGGGATTGAGAAGTTACAAGGAAGTAGCAAATTTTGACAGTTGGAAATTTGATATTGAGTGTATATTAGTCCATGATGATCTATGGCAATATGTTGAGAGTCCGCCCGCTGCTGATGATCCAGTTGCTAAGCGAGGTGATCAAAAAGCACGTACAAAAATTTGCCCACTTATTGAAAACCCTTGTAAGGTACATGTACTCAAAGCAACAACGACGTATGAGACGTGGAAGAGACTTAAAAAGCAGCATATAAGGACGCATTAACAACAGATGTAGGCTGCTATCGAGGCTTGTGGGTCTAAAGTTTAATAAGTTCAATTTGATAACCGAGTATGTAACAGAGCTAATGAAAGTAGCTAATCAACTCAGACCTTGGGAAAGAAATTGATGATGAATTGTTAGCGGCATTGATGCTACAGGGATTACCAGAGGTGTACGTGCCTATGAGATTGGCGTTAGAGAATACCAACATAGCATTAAGCATTGATTATATAAAAACAAAACTGTTTCAATAAGATGAGAGCAAAGCTTGCGCCGGTCCGAGCACTCCAGGGTAGAGTTCGGCACTTACTACAATAAAAAAGTGTAGAATACCTATTCAGAGGAACAAACAAAAGAAGATCGTGAAGTGTTTCATATGTGAGGGACCACATAAAGTCTACGACTGCCCGCAGAACCCACTTCAATCCAAAACGAGTCATATGGCACTGACTTCTGTTCAAGAAAAGAACAATGAAGATGAATGGATTTTAGATTCCGGAGCATCAACACATATGAGCTATAGGAGAGATTGGATGGATAATTTAATGAAAGTAGGAAAGAAGGTAGAAGTGTATTGCGCAAATGGAGGTAAAGTACCTGTAGAAGGTTTTGGTACAGTAAAGAATGGCATTAGTGTGAGTAACGTAATTACCAGGTCTTGCTCCTAATCTATTGAGTGTAAGCTGTATTGGGAATACAAAAGATAAAGTTGTTGTGTTCTCTAAAAAAGGATGCGAGATCTTTGATATGAGTGAGTGTACGATACAGGGTCAACCATGCATGACAGGAGTACTTGATAGAGGCGTTTATAAACTTAAATGCTTTCCACAGGCCATCGGAATGATGACAGGAGTAAGCAGTGAGTTGGAGCTTTCGCATAAAAGGATTGCACACTTGAGTATTCGTAACCTCACTTTACTGAGAGATAAAGTAGCTATTGGGGTGAGTTTTCCTAGTCTTTCTAATAGACAACTGGACTGTGTAGCCTGTATGAAGGGCAAACAGACTAGATAACCATTTGAACGCTATAAAGCTACGTGAACTAAACAGCTTATAGAATTGGTACATTCTGATATTAGTGGACTAATGAGCGATAAGTCTTTCGGAGGTTTTCGTTTTTATATTACATTTATCGATGACTATTCGCGAAAAACTTTTGTATATTTTCTCAAGGCGAAGAGTGAGGCTTTTGAAAAAATAAGGAGTTTAAATATATTGCTGAAACTCAAACCGGAAAGAAGCTAAAGGTGTTGAGGCCTGAAAATGGAGGCGAATACCTTAATATGAAAGTCGATAAGTTCTTGAGAGAACATGATATTAAGCGTCAACTTACGATTGCATACACACTGGAGCAGAACGGTGTTGCTGAGCGTGCCAATCGCACCATTGCTGAAAAGTCCCGGTCTATGCTGCAGGAAGCAGTACTTCCCGTTCAATTTTGGGCGGAGGCGGTAAACACCCCCAGAACAGAAGTTCTAACCTGGCAGTTAAAAAGATGACACCTGTAGAGGCGTGGACCGACCAGAGGACAGATCTAGGTCATTTTACAGTATTTGAATGTAAAGCATATTCACATTCTGGATCAAAAGAGAACCAACTGGGTTTCGAAAAGTAAAGAAACTGTTTTTGTTGGCTATTGCGAAAAAAAAAACGAGAGAACTTCATAAAGCACGTGATGTTATTTTTTCGAAAACCAAATGTATCGCAACGTCACAAAATCAAAAGAGAAAACTGTACCAGTAACCATTACTTTAGGCAATGATGATATGTATTACGAACCGTTACAAAACAGAGAAAGTGTTCAGCGAGATCAGAAAAATTATGAAGAGTATCTTCAATCAAATGATAGAGATCATGTTGATGAAGTTACTGAAAGAGTAGATGACGAAGAAGAACAATGGTTGTCATATGAAGAGGAAACATAAGATCCGACCACATCTGAACCTGTAGTGGTAGAACGGAGATACCCACAGAGAGAAAGAAAACCCACTCAATTTCCTGACTTTATCACCTACCAATCAGTATCTGAAACAGGTGATCCTACGACAGTGGAAGAGGCATTGTCACGAGAGAGGCAATTCACGAGAAGCTGGATTCTTTAAACAAAAATAAAACGTGGGTTTTAGTAAAGCCTTAGGAAGCAACCAACATTGTTGATTCGAAATGGATATTTCGAATGAAAAAGGAAGCGGTGAATAAAACCCATTACAAGCCTCGTTTGGTTGCACGAGACTTTAACCAAAGAAGAGGCATTGATTACGACGAGACGTTTGCTCCTGTTGTGAGACATAGCTCGTTAAGAATGCTCATAGCTTTGGCGGCCAACCTAGATCTTAAAATAGATCACATGGACGTTAAAACCGGGTTCTTAAATGGTGATCTAAATGAGAAAGTTTACATGCAGCAGCCATCGCTGTTTACAGAAAAAGGAAAGGAAGATCACGTGTCCTTGTTAAAGAAATCTCTTTACGGACTGAAGCAAGCGCCACGTTCCTGGAACCTTAAATTGCATACTGAGCAAGACAGCCTCAAGTTCAAGCGCTGTAAACATGAATCCTGTGTATACACGAGGTTTACAGGAAATGACTTAATCATATTAGCCCTTTATGTAGATGACATTCTCATTTTCTACAACAATGAGACAGAGATGCAAAATCTTAAGGAAGAATTAAAAACAAAATTCGAAATGAAGGATCTAGGTAAAGCTGAACTATTTCTTGGGAAAGAGATTCAACAAGAAAAAGGTTGCATTAAAATGAAACAAGGGGGTTGCATTGAAAAGCTTCTTCACATGTTCAAGATGGAAAACTGTAAGGCAGTTAGTACACCAGCAGTTCCTGGACAACGATTTGAAAAAGGGAAAGAGTGTACAAATGAAACCTTAGCCTTCAGAGAGCTGATAGGCTCACTGATGTATATAGCTGTATGTTCAAGGCCCGATATAGCATATGCAGTAAACTTCATGAGTCAGTTCTGCAATTGTTATGATGAAGTGCACTGGATCGCAGCTAAAGGGATCTTGAGATACTTAAAAGGTACTAAGAGCATGGGACTTGTATACTCTAAAGTCGCGTCTTGTAGAAATATTCAAGGTTTTGCAGATGCTGATTACGATGGAAATATAATAGACAGAAGGTCATACTCCGGCAACGTGTTTAAGATGGCAAATGGAGCCATCTCTTGGCAGAACACCAAGCAAAGATGTACAGCCTTATTGACTGCTGAAGCCAAGTACATCAGCTTATCAGAAGCTACAAAAGAAGCCATATTTCTACAGCGATTTCTGAATGAAATCACGGGCAAGGAGGAGTTGCCTGTCACGATACATACAGATAGTCAATCTACTATGGTAATAGCTCTAAATCCGGTGCAACATCAGCAGATAAAACATGTTGATGTTGACTATCATTTTATTAGAGAAGTATTAGAAAGGATACTATAAAGCTCAAGTATTTAGAAACCAACTGACTGCACTGTTGCTGATGCTTTAATGAAAGCTGTGTTAAAGGGCAAGTATGAGTTTTGCCGTAAAGAAATGCGTGTGTACTGAGTGTTCATGACTGACAAGGTTTTTTGATAGCATACGGAAAGCCAGGTGTAAATAATTACGGAGGAGTGTCCAGAGCATGGATATGCAATCTTTTACATACTGGTAGGTGTGACATTGAGAGTTATTCTTTTTCAAATTTATTTTTGTTACCCCACAAATTAGAAAGATATTTACCCCGTAGAACTCTCTTCAGGTCAAGATGTGTTTTATTCACGTTACTTGCTTTGGATATATTTCAATAATCCAATTATATACATTGATAGAACCGGAGGAGCTCTGTCATTTAGCTGCCCGGCGCAATACGCGCCATTTAGTTTTTTTCAAAATTTCCTGAATCAAAAAAACTTTAGACCCAGATATGGCCAAAGGCTCATGGCTTTAAGAGCTCACTTTTTTGTGAGAATAGTATGCATGGTTAACTGTTTTTTTAAATAATTTCTGGGTACTACTAAGGTGCAATGCAAAGAAAAAAATTATGACTATGATTGTAGGAAATTTTCGTAACTTACGCTTACATTTTGGAAAAGCGGCAAAGCTTAATAAATAGCGTTTTAAATTCCTTTTAATATTATGTTAATAATTATTTAATAGCTTTATTATTTTTTGCCTTTTATATATATTTGGAATTTCTAAATATAAAAATCAAAGAACTTGAAAATAACTTTATAAATAAATAACTTTTCTCCAAAACCATACAATTTCATCTTGCATTTAGAATATTAAAACACGTTACATACTAAGATTCACTTATAAATGTCGATCTGAAGGCATTTCGAAACAATGCGAGATTATAATTTAAAACTGTAGAACATTATAATATAGCAGACAAAAAACACTCTTAATTCCAACTTTACCGATTATTATATCAGCGAGTTGTGACACTTCCTTATCAAATTAAAAAAAGCATAGACTAGGCACGTTTCATTGGTGTTATATTTGTTTGTAAAAAGCTTAGAGGATGGAAAAAAATCCATAGTCCAAGGTAGAAAGTGATAGATGCAACATTTACACTTAAGAGCAAGCGAAAGAAAAAATATGTTATTGTTTTAAAATGGAACAATCCGCTGCTGCCATGTTGCTGTCCCGTTGCATCCTCTTGGCTATTTTCACTTTTCACTCAACTATCAGCTACCCATAAACTTGCTTCCCTTTCTAGTTTCTGTCAAGCTCATCAAAGATCATATAAAAAAATTTGACAACAATCTGCCGCTGTTCTGTAACAAAAATAAAAATGTAACAAAAAGTTTGGCTAATTCTTGCTTCACCGTGGGTGTACATTTCATCTAGTTGTTAGAATTATATTTTTATTACACTGAACCCAGAGAATGTTACGAAATTGTCCTACACAAAAGTTATTTTCATCCCCGCAAAATGGATGCTACTGCTACTACATCGCCTCAAATGCCTATTAAATTCAGTGAAGTGTGCAATGTCTCAATTGTATCTAGAAACAAAAATTTTTCACCGACGCCGGTGCGAAAGAACACTGTCGTCAAATATGCTAAATTGCCGGAGTATGATTGTAACTCAAAAGGTAAGTTTTTTTAAATATATTTTAATGTATTACAGGTATTTTTTGATGGCCCTGAAAGTCTGTACATAGCTGTCTCAATAGTTACCTTTTGAAATGTTACTTACATAATTAGCATTATCATGGTATTAACACCTACTCATTACATTTTTACATAATTATGACCTTAGATAAGCCATTTAATAATGTAAACAAAAAGCAAGCAAGACAGGTAGATAACCTTTAGTTATTATTTTTTAAATAATGTAGTAATAACATAATAATAATAGGGGTTAAAGTATGAAATTGCCGATTTGTACTGAAAATCTAAATTGTTTATTTTTTAAATTTTTAACAAATTTATTTAATCAAAATAGTTGCCATTATTATCTATACATTGCTGCCATCTAATGGGAAGGTTATTAATGCCTTTGCGATAGAACTCCGACGATCTAGACCGCACAAACTGTGTGAAAGCATTTTGTACTGCCTCCTGGGAAGAAAACTTCTTGTCACGTAGATAATTGTCCAAATCACGAAAAAAATGGTAGTCCGTTGGAGCAAGGTCTGGTGAATACGGAGGATGACGAATGGTTTCTAACTGCAGTTCCTGAAGGGTCAAAACGGTTTCTCGTGCTGTGTGAGGTCTCGCGTTGTCGTGGAGCAATAATGGTGAAGATCGATTCATGAGTCGGGGCTGTTTTACTGCTAGTTTTGTCAACATGGTTCGGAGTTCGGCACAATAGACATCTGCCGTTATTGCTTGACCAGATCGGAGAAAACTATAGTGAATAACACCATGCTGAGACCACCAAACAGTTACCATTACCTTTTTATTGGTAAGTTTTGCTTTAGGACACTGTTGTGGCATTTGACCTGGGGTCAGCCATTGCATTTTTCTTTTCCGGTTATCATAAAGAATCCACTTTTCATCACATGTTACAATTCGATCCAATATTCCTTCATTTCTGTACCGGTTCAACAAGGCAACACAAGTTTCAACACGCATTTCTTTCTGCAGATCAGTCAAATCATGAGGCACCCATTTTTCGTATTTTTTTATTTTATTGATTTGACGCAAGTGAGTCAATATTATGGGTAAGGTAACGTTAAACCATGCCGCTAATTCCTGGGTAGTTTGACTAGGATCGGCTTCCACTATCTCTCTTAATTCATCGTTATTCACGTGGTCTTCCTCGTGGCTCGTTCTTTAAGTCGAAATTTCCATCACGAAAGCGTTTAAACCAAAATCGCACGGTGCGTTCATTAGTAGACCCCTCTCCAAACGCAGCATTGATATTGCGGGCTGTTTCTGCCGCGTTAGTTCCGCGTCGGAAGTCGTATTCAAAAATCACTCGAATTTTCGCAGTATCCATCTTTCTTGTCTAAATTGAATAACAAAAACAATTGAAAGTCGATATTCAAATGTTTCAAATTTAAAAAAAAAAAAATCACAGAAACCATTTGAAAAAAGTTTCATTCGAAAACCTCAAACCATGAAGATTCTATGAAACTTCAAAGAACCTATTGCAATAAAACGGCAATTTCATACTTTAACCCCTAATATTATAAAGGTGGCCCCATAACACTGGACATAGTTATTGAGAGTAATAAAATAAATTTGCTTACATGTGTTACTTTTGGAGTACTAGCTGTAAACTAAAATTATTTAACTTAATTGAGTGGTTTATTCCAGTGAGTTTTTGAAATTTGACTAGCTGGAAAAAAGTCGCTATTTAGTCAGTTCTAGTTGCAAATAACTAGATTTAATTGGTCCGCCATTCAAATGTTGTAGGGGTGTTTTACTATCCATGCTGGAATGAACTTATTCCAGCAGCACTATTTCTCAAACATGGGAACCATAACACCTGGCTTAGATCTGATTACACTAAAAAAAGTGGTTGTTTACTTGGGTCTAGTTGCAAACAACTAGATTTAGTAGTTATTAAGGGGTTTTATTGTCCATACTGGAATAAGCTCAGTCTGGTGGCACCATTTTTGAATTTCTAAAACTGCTGCCCTAACTTAGATCTGATTGCATGCAGAAAAAGTTGTGAATTATTCAGTTTCAGTCACAAAATTTTACAATTAGTCACCCCTTTTTATTAGAAGATGCTACCAATGTATTGTTTCTAGGTTATAGCTGTGTTAGTCTCGGAGCTCATGTACAAATTTTGCAAAATGTACAGAATATGATATAAATTTTTTAAAATACATTCCATGGGCGGTTCTCATAATGTTTAGTTTTTAATACAAGGAAATTAACAAGTAATATGCAGGTATATTTCCTTAATGCCATCAGGATTTATTGATTGTCATATTTACTAGCCTATGTATGTCGTGTTGGGCTTCTGGCTTACACTAGACGAACAATGTCCATGGAGTACAGTCACTTAAGACTATTGATCAGAATTAAGTAATGAATTACTTAATTGAATAAAAAACGACTATTATAATTTATAGTGCAAGTCATTTTCAATTACAATATGTGTTACAGTCAAATTAGACTCTAAAAATTCAATAGATATTTAAAATATTTATTTATTACACTCTATCAATTCAAAATTATTTTAATCACCACCAACACAATATCTTTAGTGTTTACACAACAAATATTTGGAACGGTGACCTTCCTTATACTCTGTCCAACCATTGGTATATGCATGCCTTCGAAGTTCCGTAATTATTGACACACTCTAGGCAAAAAAATGCTATACTTCCTGGGCCCTTATTTCTACATTTTAGTGAAGCGATGTTCTCTTTCGCTCCGATATTTAGCGAGCCAACAGATTATGTAATGAAGATTATTCAAGTTGATAAATTTTGGTATCTGTCTAATAAATTATAATGAAATGAAACAAATTATAAATAATTATCATAAATTCTTATTGTTTATTAAAATGAATTGTTGGATTGTTCACCATATGAATTGGAATCATCACTTGAATCCTCATTAACATGAATTATTAATTGTTGGGTACATAAATTGTCAAACACAACATCACAATCTCAGTCAGACAATATCTTCTTTTTTGAACACGCTTACATTCATGATTTAAACTTCTTCGTATATAAAATCGATTGTTATAAAAAAATCGAATCGGTATCGCATTAGGACATCACTAATTGGTTAAAACATGAGCTGTGAAAACTTAAATAAATGGGTTGAACCATAGATGTATAATACACAAGACTCCGGCTTGGCGCGGCTACACAGAGAATGTCAATCACAGAAACCAGCGGACTTGCTTGTTGTCGGATCTTTGTATTTGGTTTCCAACGACTTTTTAGCTGTAGCGCCATCTACGAGAAATCTATGAAAGTATTTCGTCACCCAGTTAGGTAACTTTACAGCTACCACACTGGCTAGAGATGTCGCTATTAACCGTACGTAAAATTGTGTTCGAGTTCGTCGTCATTCGTCAAGTGTTTGATCTTTGTGTTAATAATTATAACAAACTAGTGATAGTGAAGTAATTTCCTATAAATTGAATTACCTATTTTTTATTATTATGATTACATATTGTTATAATTTATTAATTATTTACAATAATTAGGGAAGGTGACTGAAAATGTTTTTTTTTTGTAATTTAAATTTGGCCCGGGGTGGGAACCTTGTTACCTGGGTAAAGAATATAGGAATAGAAATATTAGGAATATTTTTTTGCGATAATTTTTGTGATTTAAGTTCAGTTTCGGATATAGAATAACATCTGTAAAAATTGCGAAAATGTCAATCAAATTTATAAAGTAGTTTATTTTCTTGTTTACTTTCACGATGCCGAATAAGTAATTATTATGTTCATATTCACATTCATTACTTATTCAAAGAAACACTATTCTTTTTTGTACACTGTCGGCACTTTCAAATATGTAACATTAATGTGTCCTATAGTCAATAGAAATTGCCCTGGTTTTAACTACTACAATTACCACGCAGTTGTTAGTAATTATTAAAATTTTGTACTGTATTTTCAGCTGCATGGCGCCAACCAGAGAACTATGTGCTACCTGTAAAATTACGTAAAATTATCGCTCTTGAAAACGAAGCTTTGACATCCACTCATGCTGAAATTCAGGTGCCTGTGAAATTTATTACCACTAAACACACTATGAGGAAAACAGTCACCATTACAGATCAAGATGATGCTCGGCAAATTACAAGTTAGTATGGTGATATTCGTAGTAAGCAAAACTTTAATTTTAAAGTCATTTGTATAAGATAATATTTTAAATAACTTGAGAACCGTGGTCTGAACATAATATACATTTAAAAAAATCTAAACATTGAGAGATTTTTTATATTCTTGCCTGATTTTTTTACATATATTGTAAGAAAGGTACCAATTTTTAATTTGCCTCCTAAATCCAAAAAATGGAGAGCTAGCTTTACTTTAAAACAATTATTTCTTTTAGGATTGCAAAAGACCTCATCAGCAAGGTATTCCCATGGAGCAGTTAAAAGTGATAATGTTAACGCAAACCCTATAAGAACACCAACAAGCGGTATAATAAAATGTAAGGATTTAGATGGTTTAGTATTTTTATAAAACAAAATATCTATGAAGTGGGCACCAAAACTAAAACAATTATTTTGGTACCTTTTGTTCAGTCACTTTGTAAGTATGCATTTGTAACGGAATTGAACAATATTTCATTATTTCACCCTACTCGCCAATTAACGAGCCAGTGACGCATGTGCGACCACAATTAGATTAAACATGTTGCTCAAAAAGTTATAGAGAAATTAATCATATACATATATCCAGGAAATTTTGTTCGACGTTATATAAAATACATGCTCTCGGACAATTAAATTAAACAGCTATCGAAGTACAGGAAACTGCTATTCATTTTTTTAGTTTTGTCCGTAAATTTAAATCGTGGCTAAGTATAAAACGGTTTGTGGAGAAAATTACTTCAATGTTCATCACACTTGCTTGTAAATAATAATAAAAAATAAATAAAAAAGTAATATGAATAAACTACAATGCTTTGAAGTCTATCTTTCCTTTTTGTAACTTGAAAGTGTGATGAAAAAGTTTGTATGAACAGCAGTTTATATGAAAGTTTATGGAACAGCAACTACAAACGTTTAAGAGTACTAAGGCCTTGCTGTCAGCTTGGGCTTTGAATGTTCCTCTATTCGTAATTGCCTCCTTACCGTCCTTGTGACACAATGTACGGTTGTTTCTTAATTGTTGTTAATAGAATTGACAGGTTTAATACGTACGTGACAGGTATGACAGTAATTATAGTCATGACATCCTACCAGGGGGCCTACCACAACCTCTTAAAACAATAAACTGTTGTAAACTTTTATATGAAGCAATAAATTGAAATTGAAATTGAAATACTACTTTAACCTTACATTGACATTTCGTACCAAAACGCGCTTAAAGTAAGCTTATTGTAATGTTGCCGCGATTGTCACTTTTCATACAGTTTCTAGAAGCGCTGCAACCGCGCGGCAGCCGCGCGACAGTCGCGCTGCTGCAGCGCGTCTAGAATTGTATGAAAAGTGAAAGTCGCGCGGCCGCCACGCGCCTGCAGCACGGCTAACAGCGGCTAATTTGAACGCGAAACTATGATGTTTTATTGGCAGCTTTGTTGAATATTCATTCGCTCAGTTCGTACTATGACGCGGTTTTAACATTAAAGTAATATTTGCTCTTATGTCATTTAGCAATCTTAAAATAGTTACACGGATGCAATGGAAACAATATTATTTTCAGTTTTGTTGTCTAAATATTGATTTGTAATGATTAAAAGGTAATTTGAACTTATTTATTTACACATATGTCTTCAACTTTGTTTTTGTTTTTTACTAGCACATACGCATTGACTTATTTATTTGTAAGTCAATGCCAATACGACATAATTTCTCGTTAAATAAAAATACGCGATGTTTATTTCGTATAGTTATGACAGCGCCATCTACATGCTCTTTTACAAAGGTAACAGTTGACACCAGACTATAATTCCGAATTCACAACGTGACTATCAAGACTCAGCATGTTTTATTTATTTTTCTTCATGACAATGCAGAAGAATTTTCGAAACAAACTAATTTTAATAGATTTTATTATTACATACTTTTTTTTTAACAGTCGAAAATTCTCTGAATGTAAATAACATTAAGTGCTTAAACATTATACTACGATAAGACGATTCGGAACCACAAAAAAGAAAGAGGCGCCATTATATAGTTTACATAGAGTTATCTCTTTCCTATTTTTAGTAAGGAATAGACATATTGGGAAATCATTCGTTCTTTCAATCACTTTTGCAATAATACATTACTTGGTTGACAGGTTCGTCATGGTACGGATATGAGTAATATTATAATAAGCTTACTTTAATCTTACATTGAAATAAAATTGTTCTTCTTCAAGGTTATGGTAGGCCCCCAGAGCTACTTCTGCTGTCCCAAATCCAGAAACCGTGTTGATTAGCATAAAAAAAATTAGTCAATTTGATTAATTTTGTACGACAAATTATTATATTGACATTAGACCAACTTCTGCTGTCCCGATTTTTTCGTGGCACACAATGATATGAGCCCTTTAGGAAATTAGCACGAAAGAAAATTTTGATACATTTTATTCATTTTTATGGACAACTTGACCACACTTGACCAAAAAATTGACTATGCCAAAATTGTTTTCACAAAATAGTTTTAATGGTTTCTAAGACAGTTTCCTTGTATCTTCTAAGGTTTCGGATTTCTCCATATTGTTCCATAAAAAAAAACACTATATGTATCGATACTTGGTGTTTCCCTTCATCCCTCCGCGTAGCCGTCATCACCGCCACGTTCGGACTCTGATCGGATGCAGGTTACTTCGATTCGGAACAGTATTTTCGCGGATCGAAGTAACCTTTATTCTCGATTTTTAAAGATGGAATCGGATTTAGTGCGCAATATCTTATATAAATACTACTACCACTACTTCGGACCGTCATTTTTCGGATTTGGAACTGGGGTCTACTCTCATTCTCCGTCCGACATCTGTCCGAAAAAATAACTGTTAAATAAGTATTACTCGACCAAATTAAAAGACGCATGATGAGAGTGAAGCTTCATCTTGAAGTTGTCTTTTAATTTGGTCGAATATTACTTATTTGTCAGTTATTTTTTCGTAAACTTTGTTATAATTTAGAATAATATTGTTCAAATCAAATCATTTATTTCTTTGTGATACACAGGTTATAAATTTGTTACAAGAATGAATTTTGAATCACAGTGATCCGCCTTATGGCATACAAAGTTTTCTTAGTTTTAGTAATTCTCATGCAATAATTTGTAATATTATTACAATCATGCAGTCCAATTAACGCAACCTAATACTAATGAAACATAATAACAGTAGTAAAATAATAATCAATAACAAATTAAATAATATGCAATGTAAATGTTATAAGAACTCTTCAATATTATAGAATGTCATATCATTTAGGTAATTAAATAATAATTTTCTAAATTCTGCACAATCATTGCAATTCCTAATTTCAAGTGGAAGTTTGTTACATATTCTCGTAGCCATTACTATTACACTCTTTTGAAGTAGAGCAGTTTTACATGATCTAATTTTCAGTTGATGAGAACGGCGGGCTCGTGTGACGAATTCAAATAAATTAAGATGACGCTTTACGAAAAGGAAATTTCAAATATATATAAGCATGGTAGAGTCAGTATTTTCAAATTTTTAAAATGTGGTTGACACCTATCTGTTTTTTTTCAAGCCGCATATAGCCCGAATACATCTCTTTTGAGCTTTAAATATGCGTTCAATGTGCGGTGCATTTCCCCAGAAAATGATTCCATACATAAGGTTGGTTGCTACATGACCATGGTAGGCGGTCACTAAAGCGTTTAAATTTACTATTTTCGATAGCGTAAACAATGCAAAAGAAGAGTGCCGTACCCAAGATCGAAATTCATTTGGTTTATTAACGTGAGGTCAAATGAATGTTAGATTATTCTGTTACTGATCGAATAAACGAATGACCCGAGCCCTTAATCTCGTAGGTCTTTTGCCCCGAGCCCTTCCGCTCTTAGGATTCTCTTTGCTTCGAGCTCTACTGCTCTTAGTCCTTCAACTTTGGAGCGGCTGACTACTCCTTATAAATAAGCCTATTTCAAATTTTTTTTTCTCATCTGGAGCGGATGACAACTAAAGAAAGAAAGAAACAAAATTTAAGTAATTTAGACACTCATGTTATAGTAAATATTAGTTGGAACTCTTTCAGGAATCAGGAAAAGTAAGGGCGTTTCCTAGAAAACGCATAATGAGAGAGATGAAGATGATAAGGGTCCGTAGTTTCACACTACAATACCTGCGGTTCTTTTGACATGACATTAATCGGTAAATGATTAATTCGATCACCAAAAGGAAGATCTGTCGTTCTTTCGACCAAACGTGTTTCGACAGATAATGTTATCAATGAGTACCACAAAAGCAAATAGTTCTTTCGACCGAACGTGCATCGACAAAAAATGTTTTCGATCAATGACATAAAAGCACAAAGTTCTTTCGATTAAATTTGATTGGGTCATTCGTTTATTCGATCAGTGACAGAATAATCTAACATTCATTCGACCTCACGTTAATCGACCAAATGAATTTCGATCTTGGGTACGGTACTCGCATAGGAAAACTTTAGCATCTTACCTTGTTAAATATAATTAACAGTAACCATGCTCAAGTTTTCGTTTTATTACTATTTTATAATTTTCTGAGGTTGTATGATTGATTTTTACTGTGCATAATTTATATGATGTCGCCGGTTAAAAGGTGAAACTCATTTAAAAAAAAGAAAAGATCTTTTCTATTTTTGTTTCTTTGGACAGAACACCTACAACAAGAAAACTTTCGTAGGTGCGTAGTTTCTTTCATTAGAAAACTACATTTCAAAAAAGTGTATATATATAATATTATAATCGCTTTGCTAGTAAAATACACAATCTTATTATCTCCATTAGTCGATTTAGCTTTTAAATGACTTACCTTTACACCTACGGCATTATATATATATATACCCTTGACATACCCCTTGCTGACTATTTGTTTTATTTTAGCAAACAGGAAGGTAGATAAATCGAGTGTCAAAGTTGCCAGTTGTACCAATAATAAATATGTTTCTAAAAACGACAAGGGTAAACTTGTAAACAACAACTGCGACCAAATTTCACAGAATCCAAAATTTCGAAACGTTCATAGCAAGGAAAAACGTAAGTTCTTACATTAATTATTTTTAGCTCAAATGTTGCATAGTATAACGCTAGTTACGAGTTCTTATGCCATTCTAATAATTTTTATCTGTTTCACAGAAAATATACCTAATAATAGAAGTCATAATGGTCCGTCTAAGGTTAGTGTAAGCAAAAGTATGATACCACCAAGTGTAAATGAACCAGATTTGTGTCATATAAAGAGTAAATTAACTCAGACTATATTTCGATCTGAAATGTCTTCAAAGAAAGCCCTTCTTAGACCTAAAGCTTCCACCATCGCGCCAAAATTATGCAAAGTTGGTGAAATTTTCAAAAATAATAAAGGGTTGATCGAAATACATGTACCACTTGATAATACTGCTACGAAAACAATGCCAAATCAAACGCGATTTCCGAAGGTCAAAAGCCAAACTTCTGTAGAGTCCAATAATGTTGAGCGCAATGTCGGAACAGAAAGGAATATGTACATTACTAAGGTAGTGCTAGTACAAAAAAAACAAGATTCAAATACCAATGGAGCTCAGACAATGGAGCCAGAAATGTTGGATGGTAAATTTCAACAGTCTAAAGAAGACATCAATAATTTGAAAATATCATATGATTGCCTCAACACTCCAAATATTAAATTGACGAAAGATAGGAAATGTACACTCAAAGAAAATACAGTCTCTATAGATCATAAACAGAGTTTGTCCACTGTGGTTTTACAGCCTTTCCATGGCATTCCTGTAAAGGGAGATAATTTTGATGACGGGGGCAGCCATAAAAAATGTCCTGAATTGAAATGGAATACGTTCACTTTGAAATCGCAGCCTTTAAAAAATAAAGAGGATGTAAATAATGAAGATACCATCCGAAAGAGTCCCGAACAAAATTTGAAACCGTTTACTTTGGAGTCCCAGCCTCTAAAAAATCCTACCAAGAACGACAACGATGGAAGCGATGATAGCCCTCAGAGTAGCCATTCATTGATTGGTGGCGAAGATAAACACCAAATGCATCCTTCATTGATACTAAGTCAACGCACCTTAACTTACACCACTAAACAAGAGATTAACATGGATTTAGGCAGTAGAATGAATGAGACTAGTTCTTTAGGTCACTCCATTTCTAATCTGTCGCCTAGTCTACTAAATTATCCTTTGAATGTCATGGCAGTTTTTAAAACGGAGAATATTGACAAGCTAGGTCAAGTATCAGCAGCTCATACCATGGAGAAAACTCAAGCGGCGAAAGAAAAAGCAGTCCAAATTGAACACTTGAATCATCTTAAAGTAACTACATCTGTTGGTTGTACCTCTCCCTACGTCAGCTGTAAATTAATTAAACCGTCTGATATCATTAGCTCTATAAGAGTCAATACTGGTTTGTTACAAAACGATTACATTTGTAAACAGTTCGAAAGAGAACTCAATTTTATTGATTCATTTTTTGAATCGTTACAGTACTTAGAAAATTGTTCATTATCTGACAAATGTTGCGCTGATGGCAAAGTTGAGAACTGGGTCAATAATTCTGGGTTTGGTAACCCGGAATACGATTCGCTATTTTCAAAGTTAGAAAATGGCGCGACTACTGATACTGAAACAATGGCATCCAAGAGTCTTTGTCTGGTAATTGTTATTCTTTTTACTGTAAACATTACGTTGGAAAAATGTTACATATTTGCGAACCTTTTAATTCTTTTCATATTGCTTTGCTGTCACGTACGCAAGTGATACGTTAACAAAAAGATGTGAAAATGTGCCAAATACGCTTAGTTTATTTGTATTGCATGTAGACTATGTTGGATTATAAACATTTGATAACTGCATTATTTATTTCAGCTCAATTTACTCATCCGCGATGAACAAAGACGAGCCAAAAACCTCTTGTTTGTATTGAAAATGAGAGAAGATGCTCTCAAAGATTTTACTAAATCTCAAATTCTGTGGCTGGAGAATAAGAAGAAATTGGAGAACACGGATATATCAACGTTAAAGAAAAAACAGCGCGGAGCTCTTCTAAAATTACAGCACGAATGCGGGGAAATGCAACGAATGCGAAAAGCGCTTCTCGCTCTATCAGAGAAGCGCAAAGTAGCGCTTATGAAGACAAAGAACAATATAGAATTAAAGCTAAAGAGTAACGTCACCGTAGACCACATACTATTAGGAAAGAAAAAACTGAAAAGGAGCACCGTTACAGATCGTAATATAGCTCCACTTAAGTGTTTCGACTTGTCAAGCAGCGGATGCGACGACGTAACCCCGCCTCGAACTAGGTCGGACACCCATTTGCTCTCCTTGGAAAGAGCAAAGATTCCTGCTAACATTGCCGAGAAATGCGTCCAGACGGGGGACAGTCTTCTGGGATCCTCTCTCGTTGACTCGGCAACAGACACTGCCGCTGAAAATTTCGTAACTGTCGACGGCAGTTATCTAAACATACTTTTCCAAAACATGTCCCTGCCACCAATTTTCAGTGCTGGGAAACAATATGAGGTAAATGAAGAAGCTTTAAAGAATATATTAAACACTAATTCTTATACTAAAAATGAGAACGAAAATGATGTCATCGACACGTTCATGGATCAAATAAAAAACAGGGATCAAGACAGCGCCCCGAGCTCGCCATCGACGGCGAGGAGTCTAGTCGAAGAGCTAGACCAATATTACAAAGGTCTAGCGAATGAAGACAAATTGCCTCTACTAGTACTTGAAGACAATGTTTCCACTTTGGGTCTTCTCAAAGACCGTTCGATTGTGGAAGCGAAAAAAATGGAGATTTGTTTGAATCAAAATGTCTCACATTTATCTCAGGAAGTCGGAACATACGATGTAGACAAAGAGGATAAAGTGCCGGAGAACACTTTGAACATTGTAGTGGAAAGTGATAACAAACAGTTGTTAGACGTGGAAGAGACGTTGGCCTCAAGCAGCATGCTGACCGGGCCGTTGCCGGTGCCCGCAGGAGCATTTGCTCCAGACGATGCGGTGCCGCCTGATGGTACTTTTTATATGAAAAGTCCCACTGGATCCGTTGCCACCGTAACATCCCAAGGTATGGTGCCACAACGATTAAAGTAGCCGACCTGTTTAAGATCCTTATAAGCTTAGTAGTGAATCTATGTTAAATGTTCTAGAGAGTCAAAGCAGCGGTCAGACGATGTCGCTGTCATCTTTGACGTCACCTGTGCTCAACGAGGCAGAGGAGCTGCGTCGGCAGCAGCTCGCTATCGAAAGAGAAGTAAGCTTTTTTAAAATTCTAAAATAATGGTCAATGTAAATAAAAAATAAAACAAAATAAATAGGTCTATCTTCCAAATTTAAATAAAGTTAATCAAATTTAAATACAAATATACTACTTTAGTACAGTGAGTACTTTTCTAAAATGTATATTTTGTGATATTGTAAAGCGATGTCTGACCAAATCAAGCAAATTAAATCGTATTTGATAGACTTGTTGCGCCTTGGACACATTAGGGCAGAATTAAACTTTGATTTATTGTAAATGTTTGATCCACCGTCCCTCAAACTGGTTTGCTATCGCACTGTTATTCACAGATTAAAGCTTTAGAGCAACAGCAATGTCAGCTACTCGCCGTGCGGGAGATCCCAGACAAACCTCCACCACCCTACACTCCGCCAGCCGATGTGCGAACACCCAAAGCTTCGCGCGTGTTCCAAGTAGACGACACCATTGATGATAAAGTGTACAAGCAATTGTGTCAGAAACCCGAAGTTACCATCGAGGCGGACGACATATTCGATGTTTTTTTACAAGATTATTGCGAAGAAACAATAAACAAACAGAAATTAGAACAAAGCGATAAGCCATGGGATGCATATAATTTGCTACCACAGAAATCACCCATTGAAAGAGAGAAACTGGCTGCTAGTGCAACAACTGCAGTCAAAGAGCTTTTATCAGGCCTTGGTACCACGGTTGTTTCAGGTAAACCTTTTCTCTACCTATGCAGGCTAACTACTATAGTAAGAAACGACGGCATCTACGTGCACTACGCAATCTGCAAATTGCAATTGTTGCAGGAGAGCAGAACGTGTGTGTTTTGATATGGAAATATTTATTACCGTAATATGCAACGTAGTAGAATGAACATCTGTTTATACGTCGGGCCAAATTCTAAACTTCACTAAAACACTTTGTGGATAGATAGTATGAGATAGCACCAATTAGAAAATACAATTGAGGTAGTTTTCATTTTCTAGAATCGGTATTTGTACGGTCAATGATCAGATTGCTGCATAAGCGTGTTTTAGATTTATTTTGTTAAAGTGGTGATTTGAAATTTCTTAGTGAATCGAATATACCAAATTTTGATATCTTACATTTAACAATACTGTTTTAACAGTTTATTTTTAGTTTAAACAATATCGCATTTTACTTAGTTATGAAACATTTTTTTAAACTCTAAATACTGTCTGCTAAGAAAGTCCTTATGTTATCCGTTACCACGTATTGATGTCAGTCGCTATTCTGCGCCTACAGTGTTCGTAGATACCGTCGATGTACAGGGCGTTCCAGACGTATGGAGTATGGATGGGAAGTACTTTAAATATTGTGGATAGGATATTTTGCGTCATTGAGACATTTCATTTTGAAAAATAAGTAATACTGCATTGAAATACTATTAAAAATATACTTTCTTCTTCAGGTAATCGAATCATTTCGATGTGAAAAAAGAAACATTCTGTATTTTTATAAAGCCGATTACAAGCAATCAACTATAAGGAATTATTCCTTATAAGTAACATAGTATCTTAATTTAGAGGAACATCCTGCAGTTTTAGGTTTCCATGAAGCCTATCTACAATATTTAATGTACTTTTCCTCCGTGCCCTATAGTCGTGAGACGCCTTGTATACGACTGCAAGTTCGACATTCGAAATATTTAACCATTTTGTACCACTTACAGTCACGTGATCGCTTGTATAAGATTTTTTCTTTTTGGTCTATCATTATTGGTTCAATACCTCCAATAATGAACACTACGCCAACTGTACCTTTTGGTCAGTTGTTGTTATTTTTGTGAATAGCTGTATTTATTTACTAATATTGTGCTCCCCGATTTTGTGGAAAAAAAACCAAAAACAAAATACGAAAAATTAAAACAAAAAAAAAGAATTTCGTATGAAAAAAAGAAACAAGAAGCAAAATAAAAACAAAACAGGTCCAAAAATTAAGTTGGTGTACTGTTCATTGGTGGTGTCAAAATTAGACATTATTACATTATATTAAATTAGTCGCTAGCACGTTAACACAGGGTGTTTGTGGTACTGTCATTGTTTTCCATAACGCAAGTGCTTTAGTTTCTTACTTTGGGATCGAAGCAACGTACGTGACATTATCTAATATATATATATATATACATATCTCGGCATAGGCAGTCACGCCAGTCTAATGCGGTTTGGAGACATACCATGTTTTTTTGAGTATTGTGAACCGTGTTCGACATGTTTTCTGGACTTTTCCTCCTTTCTTGCGCAAGTACAGGCGCGGTGAAACTGGACTGTTTTGACGGGCCTTAAAGAACGGAAAACCGGACGGAATTCATAAATCATGTGTATTTCAAAAGACAGTGTATATACTAAAATAAGCAATGTTAAGTTAATACTTTACGCTGGCAGGCGTGGGTGCGCGACGATCTGATCATATCGACGACATTCTGTTCACGGAGTGGCGCCGCTGCGAATCTGAGTGGACTGCGTTACACGTCGACGAGGCCGCCATCAAGAACCAGATCTTCGAGGGCATCTTCCAGAGGATTCTCACCGAAGTCATCGACGAGTATAAGAAAACCGTTCACAAAATAAATTGCACTGATGATGTCCAGTTATAATATTTTAACACGATTTGCAGTGATGGTCCCTGGTCAAATTCTGATACTTTTACACATACCTACGTTATTTAGTCTTTTAATCATTGGTAGATTGTTGTGCATGTAAAAAATACGACAAATAGGTAAAATGTTCAAGTATTAAATTATTTATTTAGAAATAAAAATAATCGTTAAAATATCACATAGTTCTTATATTTCACACGGATTATTTAAAACCATTAATACTTTTAACACAATACGTAGTCCCACGCTGAGAATGAAAGTTTTCAGTAATTGATAGCCTACGCCCATTAAGCATCGGCTTTAAAAATCTTTATTCGATATACGATTCGAAGTTAATATTTTAATTAACAAACAAATAAACAATAACAGCAGTATAACACCAAATATCTGCTATGAGTATAAAGTAATGAATCCACTAAACATTTTCAAATCATTTTCGATATTAATTATAGTTTTTTTATATGGCTTATATTATTACCACTGATCGGAATTGAGAGAGTTAATTTAACTAAAGTAAAGAATGATGTGAATATTCCCTTCTGTAAATCCCAGGTCTTCTCGGAACTGCGTATTGTTTATTGAAATTTGAGTACCTTGGCGACTAATTATTATTTCCTATTAAGTATTTGCTTCAAATTATTGTCTCAAAAATTATATTAGAGTTGTGTTTCTATGGGTACTTACGAATTTAAATACTTTAGCCATTTACAAAATAAACATGAGACAACCTATATTTTGGAATATTTAGAAAATGAACAGTAAAAAAAAGACATTTTATACGCATTGATGACGTGAAATGGGTATGTCCGTACTAAGAAAACGTTCATACTTTAGGTAAATTAACTCTCTCAAGTCTGATCACTGCTTATTGTTACTTAACATCGTCATATAATTGCACCCCACCGCTCCACCCCACTACCGACTACTAAAATAGTACAGCGTGTCGTCGGCGCGCAATCGCACCGTGTGCATCCAAAGGGCTCGCTGACTGCATTCCAACTGCGATTTCCTTATGGCACTTGTAGTCCTATGTTCGTTGTGATTGTTCCTCCAACAGTATTCCGTTTTAAATAAACTGTTACTAAAAATTAAGACCTTTTGTTCGATGACGTAATTTTCGCCGTTGCGGACTCTTCTATCTAGTACTAATACACTTATGACAAGCATAACTTTTGCTTGTTGCGTTTCCTGAGACACGAACAAAAGTATAAGACTAGTGAGTCTAGACCGTTAAATAAATTATAAGTAGTAAGTAAATACAAACTAACCGAGAATCTTGCAAATCATGTTCGCATACGATTTTGTCTATTTCGTAATTATATTTTTGTAATATATTCAAAACACTTATAACACATATTTTATAAGTATTATTAATTGCTTAAATTTATTATTATTGTTCTCTTTCATCACTTGACTATCGTTAGTTCTAAGTTGTCATCTATTTCTTTGATCTTGTTTGTGATTATCAGCCTAGTTAGTCGTCGGCTTTAAGGATGGATTCAAGGGGATTGGGACCTTTTCTTCTCGGGTTTCCCGGAGCTTTTGTGGTTTCCGCTGAAAGAGAGGACAGGTACTTTAATTTTTTTACATTTACCTGATACCAAACAACACCAATTAATTAAAGTCATCAAATTGGGGTACTGCAAAAACATTGTACACTAATTTGTAACAGAGCTAATTTAAAAATAAAGACCTTCGTCGTTACTCGGGTAAGAAACATTTAAATAGTGATATCGAATACTAAATAACTATGAGAGTCTAAAACGAACAATGCAAAGAATATACGGGGTGGAACGGAATCACCGACACGGCCGAAAACCCGAAGAATATGCTCTAATTGTGCTGAAAGTTTTTTTGTCTCTGAATGTAATAGTTTCCGAATTATTCAACAATAAAGGTTTGCTTTAAAATTCAGTGTTGTCAACTCTAATCAATAGCTGTTAGGCGTATTCAGGACAAAAACTTTATACTTTTACAAAAACTTTGTACCCCCATCGTTTATTTGCAAATAGTGCCCGTTCAGTCGCTTCCTTTGGCCAATTATTATGTCAGCGATAGTGATTACTTTTGTGGTTTTTGTACGAATATTAATATTTCGAGAAATTAACACCCTAAAATTTCATGTTTGACGGCCCAACATTACATTTACCAAAAAAAGACACCTCTTAGAAAAGCCTTCAATAATCTAATCTTAATTATTACGAAACTATGGTGTCTCCCGAAAGACCCAGTCCGTACCAATTTAGAAAAGCTAAATTTTCTAAACGACCTTTCCTGGAATTCAACCCGAATCGTAACGTGGTATATAGTAGTATCGATTTTCACACTGCTAAATTTGATTTTTATTACAGTTTATCAACCTGTACTAAACTTACTTCTGGGTTGCACATGGTAGGCCACTTATACCAGACACAAGTTAAATGCCATGCCTATTTTTTATCATGTCTGTCTTTTTAATCTATCAGTTATTGACAAACGGTGCGCCACGCGCATCTCTATTTAGATCTGCTTCCTTGCTTTCTACTAGTACTTCAACATCTAACACATACAAATACATCTTACAGGACAGATATTTCAGTAGAGCTCTTTGTGAATGAGTTCGTCCAGGGAAGGACTGCCACTTTACCTATTTCAGCCGCTAAGCAGTAATGTCGGCATTACCGTGTTCCGGTTTTGAAAGGTAAGGGTGCTGGTGAAATTACAGGCACATGGGACTTGTCAACTTATGTCTCAGGGTGATCGAAACAGTGGTAGTGCCCCTCAGACCTTTGCAATTAAAAGCTCTGCATGGCACTGTAACTGTTATGGACAGGCGTGTAGTTTCCATCAGGCGCACGACTTGTTCGTCCCATCAATATAATATCCCGTCATATAAAAAAAAACTCCCTGTGGGCCTTTTTCTGTTAGTCCTCAATCGCAGCTGAGTGTTAAAATGAGGCGGCTACGTGTTTGCGCGAGTCTGTGTTTTAGTTGTGCCTATAACCGTACGTTTATTTATAAATTTTTGGATTGTGAGAGTAACTGTTACAATTAGTGTCTGTTAAGCATGTTGTCATCCAGACTGTTCCGCGTGTGCACCTGTATGTGCATGTACTAATTCCGAGTAACTTACTCGTATACTTGGCATGCTTTTTAACTGAATCCAAGGTGGATGATTACGTCGCCCTTCTACAGTACTACTGTAACAGTAAAATTATGGGAATGATACTCGTATGTAGATGACGTGCGTTCTAATAACATTAATAACAAAATTAATGCCACTTGGGAAAGGGGTGAAGCAACGATCACTGGCATTTATATGTATTGGCGAGAGGTTGGAGAGTACTTAAGCTTACTGGACCACTCTGTTCCCTTTGTTTTGTTTGTGACAATAATAATCTCCCGTGTAACTACCGACAGGCTTAGTAGTGTCACGGGTAGGTAATTGTTGTTGTCCGTGGTACTCCCACTACTAATACGGGCAATAATACTTTGCCGTATTACTACCAAGATAAAAAGCGTTTTTTAATTCCATAAAACAAACGAACCAAAAGCCAAACAATACAATAATAACCTAACATCAGTACAGAGTACTAAAAAACCGACCTCAAAAGTCATTCATCCCCTAGTTTACCACCCTTGGAGGTCGAATATTTTCTTCAAATTTAAATAGTACTACTTCTGAGGTAGGTACCCTCTTTCCAACAAAAGAATTATCAAAATCGGTTCACAAATGGCGGAGTTATTGCGTAACATACATACAGTCGAATTGAGAACACCTCCTCCTTTTTTGAAGTGGGTTAAAAATGCATTTTAACTAGCAAATACAAATCAACCTCTATTCTTATTCAACCTTAGAACTAAGTCCAAACTCATGGTACCACGACTTCGTTTAACTAAGGTAAACGATTCTTTTATGGGGAACTGTATTATACGTTTTTACGATAAGATTCCGGAGCATATTTTCAGATTACCATTTTCTAAGTTTCAAACTTACATTAAAAGTATTTGAATTTGAAAGGCATATTAAAAAATTGAAGACATGGCTCTAAATTCCATACGAATTCAATTACTACTAGGCCTGTTGGTAGTTACGGTAGTTACTGACGGTATGAGATTATTATTGCCCGTGTAACTACTAGTGGTTCCAGGGGAGACTATTATTGCAATTCACTTCCACAATTTCCACGGGCAACGTTTTTTTATGATACCAAGTGACAGGACGAACAAGTCGTGCGCCTAGCGGTAAGCGATACACCCACTCGTAACAGTTGCAGTGCCGCTCGGAGATTTAAATCTCAAAGATCTGTGGGGCACTAAAACTGCGCCCAACAAACTTATAAGATTAAAAGAAACATGTGGTTGTAATTTCCCTAGTACTATTATCGTTCAAAACCGACAGACGTACAGTAGACATACTTACTTAACAAGGTAAAAATGTTAGTTGTCGTTGCATTCTGTACAGTTTTCTATAATAGGAGCATTCTGTATAAGAATTGTTATTAGTACCCTACCCTACACCCTAAAATAAAATAAGACCACTTTCCTCTTCAAATTCTGAGCGTCAGCAAAAGTCAATTTTATTTATAATACCACTACCACTTTTTACTCGTCCACTGGTCAGACCATAGCGTTGGATACGACAGAGAAAGCATGAAAATAGGTTGAATGCTAAAGAATGAACGTTTCCGCGCCATGAACATATACAGTGTTACTCTTAAAGACAGAATGTCGAAGAATATACTAAAAGATCGTCGTGGTGTCAAAGATGGTGTAATAATGACCAGGATTCAAACGGGGAATTCTTCGATAGTTTGATAATGTAGAAAGTTTGAGTAGATTGACGGCGCAGGTAGAGCGACAAATATAGTACCTACGAATATGGATGGAAGAGGATGTGAGGAGAGGTAGACCTCGACGGTTTACGAAGGTCAGGTTAAAAGTGCCATGTTTAAACGGATATAAATGAATAGGCTGATACGAGTGTTAGGAAGCGAAAGAAGTTTGTCAGGAGCACAGCAAGTGTAGAGCTCAATAGTCGATGGCTCAAGGTCTTCGCCTACCTCGCGTACCATCGCGCGAGGACAGGCGTGATGGTATGAATGCGTCGTATTGTTTTGCCTTTAATCCTCATGAAGACCATCACCAAATCCTACAATTAATAAGTACACCACGTGTCCATGACTACACAACACGTTCTATAATTTTTGATGCAATGCAGTCTGACGGTAAAGAATAAAAGGAACCATTGCAAGTTATACTTACTGTTCTGTCCTTGTGGAGCCTGTGTCACTTCCAAGCAAGTCATCCACTCCGTAATGCTTATCCTAGTATCATGGTTGACGTCGCAGTAACGAGGCAACTTGCGCCCGCAGCGGCGTAAAGACTCCGAGTTGTTGATTAGCTGGTGAAAAGCCTTCCACTCTCGTCTGTCTAGCGCTTTGTTCTTATCCTTATCCAACATCACATACGTCCAAGTCGCAGCCTGTTCTTCTTTCGACGCTCCCCATTTGACCAAGTCCCTACAACAGTACACAGCAATTGTTAAGATCTGATTTTACTCGTAGTTTACAGCCTTTGGTAATTGGATTTCTGGATTGCTGGACGAGTATGAGTTACAAGGACGAGCGCCAGCGAGCTACGAGTCAAGCAATCCCCGTTCCCGCCAAGGCATGTAGGTATAGAATTTTTCTCAAACAATGTGAGGAAATAATAAAAGACTAAACTCGGGAAAATGTTTAATAGAAAAAGTACCTAATAAAAAAACAATATTAAAAGTAATATTTTTGACGTGTTACGACAATTGCTAAAAGAAATTGTTATTGTTTTTCCAGGCACAATAAGAAGTTCAACACACTACTAATAATGTGTTGAAAAGAAGTTCACTTCTGAAGATGTGTTTGAATATGTATCTATTACGTACTGTATTTTCGTTATCGCTATTTTCACTAGCACTCATTTTCGGGACCAAAATACAAAAAAGACGGAAAAACAAAAGAATACCAAAACACTTTAGCTTAGGTGTTATCGCTATTTTCTTTTTTTTTTAGATAAGCGGTACAGGTAAGTATTTTTAAATCTCGCATCGCAACTATGAGCACTGGGCAGTTGCCTGTATGAGTTTTTCTTTTGCCTGTTTACATAGTTTATAATAATAATAATAATAACGCACACACTCAACACAGACCCGCACTAGGAAAACCCTGTGCCGCGGGTGCCATGGAACACACATAGACAACCACATACGACACCCAAACTCCGAGAGAAATAAATGTAGGCCATACAAATATTTGTCCCGGCCCGGCAATCGAACCTCTACGCGGCAGTCCGGCATGGCAACCGTTCGACCTCGGAGGCAGTCAATATTATTAGTAGGTAGATTTAAAAGTTTAGAGAAGTGGACAGTAAGCGCCCAGTTAACCGAGGCGAAAGTTATCGTGCGGCCACCGCGCCGCGACCGCCCACTTACCATGCCTTCATGTACATCAATGGCGAATCTGAATTCTATTTACTAAGCAACAACATTTAAATTCCTCTGAATAATACAACCGCGCGGCCGTCGCCCAGCCACCGCGTAGACCAAATTCAAGCCAGTCTCACCCGCGTCCCCGGGACGCTCATTTAAGGTAAAACGTAAAAGATAAACGAATAGAGCGTATTTTGCCATGACAGTTAGACGTACGCGGTTGCTGCGCGGTGGCAACGCGGACTCCGCTCGACGATTGCGCGGGGTGAGCGAGATGAAATTCGTGTCAAATAAATGCGCCCTAATGGATTTTCATACTTGCTTTGCAGGCCACGACCAGGAAGAAGTCGCACGGTCCATAAATGACAAGCCACATGGCAAACTTTCCGTGTTCGTTTTTTGAAAGTAATGCACACATTTCCGAGCATGTTTAAAAAAAAAATTATTATTTGGGGCACAGTAGGTACACTCACCCGGGACCCGTGCCGTTTGACGACGCCGTCATCTTGGAAATGAAGAAGCTCATTAAGTCTCGAAGGAAGATTGATTTAATGGGCTCTGGGCAACCTGATGAAATATAAATTGATTCTATTGTACTACATGTTCAATGTTATTGTTCGTCGTTTCTACCGAGCTTAGAACAAACACAAGTCTGTTACATTGCACACGAGGCTTCTACGAGTTCGCCTGCCAGCCGTGGCGATTATACAAAATAATTACTTTAAATACATAGTAAAACTTCTATACTCACCTCTCATGGGGCTAGCATGTTGCGGTGCGGCATCGCAATCAGGTTTCCTGTCTTTGACTGAGGAGCCGGGTATAGGTTTGCCGGTATCCTGATGGACGCACCAGCAGTAACCCGTCGTCTTGTAACACTGCGCTCGGGCATAGCGACCATCCCCTGTGCATTCCGGTACGTACAAGACCGCCCCGCCGGCTTTCTATTAGAATGTTAAATTATATATACAATTTTTTTTAAATTATATATAAATAATAGGATATATAACGGTACAATTACACCAAAATGCACAAAAACATGTTTAAATAAAACAACTGTAACATAAGACCACCATTGTCAGACGATACTGGTGACCACTGAACGGTCTCTCATGTAACAACATCTAGTGATTGAAATACCCCGACGTTCTATTTGAGGTCATCGGCTTAACATCCTCACCAAATCGCACCGCTCATGGAAGAATGGTATACGTGGAGTTACGTCAAAAACTTTTACAGCTCCATTAGATACAGAAAAATATAACCCACATCCTCTCCGATTATTGCAACTCTATCGACTAATATTGTAGAGAGTTACAAGAATTGGAGAGGATGTGGGGTATATTTTTCTGCATTTAAAGGAGCAACAAACATTTTTAGGTACTTCAAACCAACGATGTTTATATAACGCACAGAGTAGCAGTAGATAGTCGCAAGGCTATATTACGAAAATTACCTAAGTTACAATTTCGCTCTTGCCTTATATTATTATTACGACGCTCTTAACAAAAAACTTTCGCTACTCGCTACAAACAAAAATGCTATTCAATTATATACAAATGATTCTTTTTCACTTTTTTATTAGAAAAAACCGACCTCATAAGTTTGTAGAATTGCACTATTTGCAGCCAAGTTTTATTGAAATTGGTTAACGGAAAGTGGGTGAAATCCAATAAACCGGATTCATCCTCATTCATTTTCCACTCTTAGAGGTGGAATATTTTCTTCAAATTGTACTATATTTTGGGCCCCCTTTCCAACAAAGAAAAAATCATTGATTTCGGTTCAGAAATGTCGAAGCAATCGCGTAACACACATACAAAAAATACAATCGAATTGAGAACCTCCTCTTTTTTTAATGTCGGTTAAACAAAACAGATTCTCAATTACCTGTTCATCTAAAACGGCTTGACGGTCTGTGTGGCAGTCGTTGATCTCATCTTCTCTTCTGTTGTCGGAGCCTTCAGATGCGAACGAGTTCCTCATTATACCTGGCAGCACTGACATAAAAAAAGTTTATAGTTTTTCCAATAGCAGTTTGTCAACTCGATTAATAATAATTTGCGGATTCGCTCTGGACCTTTTGGAGGGAAAAGTGTCGTTTTTATTTTGACTTTCAATTATTTTGTGAAATCTAGTTTAAAGTGGAATAGGATAGTGCTATTGTGCCTTAATCGAAGATTAAAACGCGAAATTATACGAATCTCGAACTAAAATACACTTATCGGCCCGTTTTAAGAAACCCCGAGTCAATCCAAGCACGCCGCCTCAAATTGCCTATCCTCTTTGTGGTGGCCATATTTACAGAAACATAATTAAACTTCATGTTTAGGCTGATGGCTTTGCCAAAGCCTTAATAAATTTAAAAAAAAATAATAATAATTTGCATTCTTGTTTGGCGTTTACGAATCGGAAGTAGGGCACAAATTAATGAGTACCTACTTGTATACAATTTGTGGTCTGAATTTGGTGTTGTACCTATAAGTTCACAAGCATTTATACATTAAGTTACATGCCTTTTACATTTGATTTGTCATACCGTTATTAAGTAATTTTCAGGTTAATTGTTACAGAAATTGGGCAGAGAAAACTAACCTGGAAATTACCCTATTACGCTGTATGCAGTTGAAAAAATTGCACACCCTTAAAAATTATATACGTAAGCTGAATATAGTATTATTAATACTTGTGTAAATAAGCAGATAAAACATTACGCCTATTTACTTAACAGCCTACCATTATTCGGTGGTTTCTTAATTTAGTTATATATACATATATACGTGGTGTTTACCGGTGCATTTAGTCCTTAAGAAATACCAAGATTTCAAAACCTGTACATTTCATTTATGTGGACTTAGTGTTTTGTTTTTATTAACACTGTATGTAGGTAGGTAGGTGAGAATAGGTATTCTAGTGATGTGGTGATAGGTTACCTGCGGTGGGGTCCAACGGGGATTCCACCTCGGTGTAGTCGTCCTCAGGTTCGGGACCACTCACATCGTCTGCGTTCAACGACATGAAGAAACGGAGAGAGACTATATATTATTATTATGTTTGCACATGTATTTACATTTTTATCGTATCGTTAATGTTGCAAGTTTACGGCTATATCCAATCAACATCTTTATTAGTGTAAAGTCATTTTAAGCAAATTAAATTATACGAGTAGTAAGCGCTACGTGCATGTCGAAAGAAAACGCAGACCCCTGAAATATGTTAAATAATTTGAAATTTTTTATTCAACGTGTTTGTTGTGCGCATTTACTTCGTGGTGGCTTAACGTCTGCAACAATAAATGGAGCCATGCCTTATATTTACAGTAAGTCTACCAAAATAAAATAATAATGTAAAGCTGGTGTTAACGTGTGCAGTCACCGTATCACAATCATGTATCAGTGATTTACCACAAAATAGGCGCCTTGACGTCGAGTTGCGGACACCAGCCCGTTACACCAAGTACCAAGTACCACAAAAGTAGATATTAAGTAAAAATTATGTAAAATTATCATTTACAACACAAAGCATACTAGAGGAAGAAAAGAAAAACAAGAAAATAATCTAAGTGTAAACAAAAATAAAGTTGTTCAATAAACAGAAATGGTCTGAGATACTCACAGTCCGGCGCAGGCGGCTCAGGGTTGGCGAGCAAGCAGGACACCCACTCAGAGCGGGCAATGGCGCCGTCCCCATCGCCGTCGCAGCCACGAGCCCATGCCCGAGCGCAGCGCTTCGGTTTGACCACCTAACCAAAATACTTACTATCAATACACCAGGGTGGAAACATTCAGTGTTCCTGCAATATTTTTTGACAGTAAAATTGGGACAAACACTTTACGACCGTTTCCTCGCAGATACACTTTATCTGGATTAATTTTTGTTTTTTCTTCTTTCCATAAAGGAAAAGGCAAAGGTTTTACACCATACAGCCAAGTCTTGGTACATTATTCTTTTTTGGTAGGTACATAAAGTTGAATTATGTTTCTGTAAATATGGCCGCCACAAAGAGGATAGGCAATTTGAGGCGGCGTGCTTGGATTGACTCGGGATTCCTTAGAACGGGCCGATACGGGTATTTTAGTTCGACATTCGTATAATTTCGCGTTTTAATCTTCGATTAAGGCACAATAGCACTATCCTATTCCACTTTAAACTAGATTTCACAAAATAATTAAAAGTCGAAATAAAAACGACACTTTTCCCTCCAAAAGGTCCAGAGCGAATCTTATCTGGATTAAGTTTGCATTCATTCATCACCACAGTCTTAAGAAAAGTTGCCATTTTCAAGAACAGAGACCTTTAACAAATATTGCTAATTTGTTTACTTAAACACAGTTGTATTCAAAATGTGTATATTTTTATTGTTGCTAAGATACCGAGTTTTCCTTTGGTTAAAATAATCACGAGATATATTGGGCTGGTATACAATTCGTCGGCTTTGCTAGTTTTTTTAAACAATCTTCCTGAATTAAGGGTGTGTGAGATAGGCTGCTATTCAATCCATATTGAAGCGTAAATATTTATCTCGGTTTACGTTTTGTTAATATTAGTCAGCAGTTAGTTAGTACTTTCGATTGTTACATTCCGTAACCCAAATCCAAATTAATCCAAAAGTAAGCAGTTAAAAATACTTGAAATCATTTCTAATGTTCAAATAACATTGCACAGAAATACAAACTCGGCGTACTGTTAGATAATTTAAATGTTTAATACGTGCATCTAAATTATTGCCTATTCAATTGTGAACGAGTGTTAGCATTTGTGCGACATCCATCATTGCGTCAGTAACAAGCTTAAGCTGTTTGCCTGGATCCCACACATCTCGAGGGCGCTTACTTCCCCGTTTATTTTATGAGTAGGCATTCCATATGACTATCATTTTATACAAAGTCAAGTGTAAAAAAATATGCTCATAAATGAGAGTGGGTAATTTACCTTCTTTATAAGTCTTCGAAGGCCTCGGTACTCTGACTTTTGCAAGGCGCCGCTGCGATCCCGGTCGAGTTCCCTGAACTTCCATTCGGCCACGGCTCTAGGTTCCACCGCAGGACCACCAGTATCCGAACGAGCTCGCTCCAACTCTCCACTGAATATCTTGATTAAATTCGCGTTAAATTGGGCTCGGTCTGTTCTTGTACAACCTAACAGGTAAACGTTTTAACGTTACGAGTGTTATTATATTAAATATTTATTATGTAGCGTCCATCCAAAACATACTGTCTATACATATGTATCGGTAATATTAGTAAGTAGTATTAGTATACCAAAACTTATAAAACTCGGACTTACTTCTTTTATTCCTTAGGCCTCGTGCGGATGACCGTCTTCTGGTATGTGATTTACCTGCAGCAATATTATTCTGAAATTACCTCCGTGTTATTCTTTTTCAATTAGTATTTATTACTAATTTCGATGATGAAACTGTAAGTTTGTTATCGTAATATTTTCAAAACAAGCACGTGGGAATGAACGTGCTGCATCTCAAGTTACGGTGCACATGTGTGTTAAGGCAAAAGCGTAGACAGCATGATTTATTTTTACGCAAAAGGTGGCGGTCTCTGCGGGGCGGGAGGGCTGCGACCGTCTACCGTCCGCCGTACGCCCGTGTACCTAACCGGTCCACAACCACAGAGATGTACATCATTAGCCGACACCAAACCGGTAACAGTTACCTTTTACCACCTACTGCCGTACCGTTCGTAATTACCTAAAGGATTAAATAATAAAACTTAATTCCTTCCATATTACATTTCCTCTAGTTAGAATGCATTAATGACTACTAACTTTCATACAAAAATATTTAGATAACTGCTACCAGTGAGTATAATATCATTGGCTGCTACCACCTACTTACCTGTTATATTTGTGCATATAGAATTTAAAATAGTTTTTAGCTAGGGACCTTTGGATTTGCGTTTGAGAATCACTCCATCGATACCGGTCGAATCACAATATTCATCGCTTTTAACAGTTTTTACGACGTCCATAGAGGCCGGCGACATGGGGCATCGTAAAAAAGGAGAAAACCCAAATCGGGTTTATTGGCCGACAGACAACTCGGCGCCTGACCCAAATAATACTCGTTGTGAAATTGAATCACTTAGGTAGATGCGTACTGACTCATGTTATAGCAATTAAGTACGTTTCGATTATAAAACAAGCGTTAAATTGGAGTTTTATACACTAAGAAAACAAATGTGAAGACTAGGAATAAGAAATTATGGATCTAAAAATTGAACTCTTCATCTCAAGGTCGTTAAATTGATATTAGATTTACATTTCAATTGCACACAGGATCTCTACCAGAAAATGATAACAATTTTGAAACATTGGTAAACAAGCCGAGAACCACCAATGTTTTGAAACCAATACACAATATCTTAGCGTTATTATTATGATTCTGCCTTGCTAATTAAAATGAGATGTACCTACGTAAGCATACCTACGTAGTACTTTCTGCATGTACTCCATTTTGTTGCAATATGACTGAAATTTATAAAACAAACTTTGATTTCGACTAAGCAAAAACGGTGAGCCAAGCAAGTAAAAACGTATTTTTCGCTAAAGTATTTATTACAAGCAAGAATTGATAAATTAAATACGTGAGTTTGTGATTTATTAGAGACACATTATATGCTTCATTTAAAACTCTTTGGCCTAATTCATAAATTGCATTGAGGCATTCTTAAAATTGACAATGTTTTAATAAGAAAATGATGTCTAAAAATGTAAAACTGTTTTAAAGAGACTCTATCTTGTTTTGTAGTATAATATCTATAGCACTTATTTAAATCTAGACATATACTCTAGAATTAATTAATATTATAGTGAATTGTAAGTAAATTTAAGTGTTGAGCTTGTTAACTCATCGTTAGGTGGTTAGTATTTGCCTAGCGATAAAGAAGAGTCGGCTTTTGTAATTTATTTCTTGAAATTGAATAAATAAATAAAAATAAATATAATAAATTTTGATTAGCTTGGTTTCAGTTCATAAATTTATAGAAAACATACACAGCCGGAAGGAATATTATGACAAACGACGAAACACAGCCAACCATAGGCAAAAGAACGTTCAATTTTGATGTTTGCACAACATAGGTATCTAGGATCAATAACCTATTGCCTGCTATTAAAGGTTATTGTTCAGTAGGTCTCGCTCATTGTTTATAGTATTCTTTCATATCCTATTAATAAACGGTCTTATATACATTAAATCTATAGAAACGAGTTGGAAACTATTATATACCGCCACTATTTTCCCGCCAGAATCTCACATAACTAATGCGTTGCTATCTTGTTGCCAACTACGTATAATTATGAATAACCTCAATTTTAATCTAGTTTACAATCTAACTTTATGTCCATGTCGATTTTTAACGTGTTCATTAAGACTAGACTCAGGTACGAAGCGCTTAAGATGAAACATCAAACGTGCGCGCGCTACAATCCAAAAATGCTCCTAAATGATGTCTGGAGCATTTTTTCTATCACCTCTTGGCTGGCCGAGACGGGTTTGCCTTTAAGGGGACAAAAAAACCGGGCTCAATTGTGGACAGGCGACGAGCAGTCTGCACGGAGCACTGTTTCTTAGAAACCCACTCATATTATACCACGGTTTATTTGTGTGATCGTTATCTAGCAGAATACGAAACCAATAATATTATGGGAGTTGTTTAAAATTTTATGAACAGATGTTATGCAGTTGACTGCCTCGGATTGTTTACTAGAATATCGATATAAACACTTGTGGCAAGTCAAAGTGTACGAGTTGGTAATTAAAGAGTACGGAGCGGCAGATTCCAAGCAATCTGGTCACGTAAGTGGCAATAAATATTTAATTGCTGCGGGCAGACGCTATTGCCTAATGGCGGGCGGTAGTGATCATGTGCAAATAAACTGGCTAGGATAGGAGCACTAGAATAGCCATGCCCTGCGCATTAGTCAGTTATCGACTTGCGTCTGGCGTTGCGTATGCGTCACAAGCCACCAATTTCATGTTTTATAAGTTGTAACGCATATTGAAAATGCCTCTACTTTAGTAGGAAACACTGAAGATACAACTTAGACTGTACTGTATGAATTATCTTAATGTTGAGCATAGACTCATGAAAGCCATCACAGCGAACTTGATATCAAGTAGAGATACCTAAGAGTTATTAAAGAATTTTAAATCAATATATTTATAAATGAGGACGTTCTGGAGAGGATTGGGGAACGGAGAGGCCTGACGGAGACGATAGAGAATAGGCGGGGAAAAATGTTTGGACATTTGTTGCGCAACGACGAACTATTGACGGTTGTTGTTGAGGGAAAGATGGAAGGAAGGAGACAGAGAGGAAGACCGAGAATGGCATTCTGTGACCAAATAAAAAAGAAAGGTTAATGTGAGCAGTTACAGGGAGGTCAAGGAGTTGGCTATGGACCGTGAGGAGTGGAGGAGGCTACACCGACAAGAGCATGGCTCTTAAATAAAATGAATGAATATTTATAAATTAAGAATAAACCTTATGTCCATGCCATCACGTGTAAAGCAATTATTCATCTAAATTAGGTGTATCTATGTATTGAACAGTATAATTTCTATTAAAGAATTGGTTAATATTCATACTATGGTACATAAATTCCAGACGATCTGAGTAAAATATCTAAGCATTTCGTATGCGTCGCGGCGTGTCGACAAGAATGCCGCCGATATAATGCTCATTGTTTTAGATATGATGGCCACACTATGATAACTCTAGTTGGATATTTTGTGCTTAATGTGGAATCAATATTACTTTCGTTGAGTAGTCTTGTATAATACGCGTCAACAATATTCTACGTCATTTTAGAACATAAAGAATCTACTATTTTGTACCACTTACATGAAAGCAAAATAGAAATTAATCTCATAATTAATAGTCACTTTAAATTTACTAATAATTTGTTTTTTTTTTTTTTATAATATCAAGTGACGGAACAAGTCGTGCACCTGATGGTAAGCTACATGCCTGTCCCACTGTAAGGGCGCGTTCTCACTATGTCGTCACGTTTTATTATCGTTGGACGACTGTCGTGTCTAGCCTGTTCCCATATCACGACTATCTGTCGTGGACGATTTTTTATCGTTGAACGACTTACGTGACTAGTTGTTCCCGCTAGATCGTGACGACAATTTATCGTTTCACGACAGCCTCCTTGTCGTTTGCACGACAGGATCGTTTGATGCACTGCAGTCGCTTGTATGTTCTTTTAGAAGCCGGTAGTGTGTGTCCGCTCGAAATGGATGAAGACGAAATTTTAATAATGTATTACTTTTTAAAAATGCTTCAGAAAGCAAACAAAGAAAAGAAAGTTTTGGGTACATCCAGTGCTACTAAAAATAATTCATTTAGGGTTATGTCAAACGGTATACTAAGTTGCTTTCTTTTCGGTATTGTTAAAACCTGCTACGACCAGAGATGGGCAGTGGATTAGAACCCAATCAACCTGCCTGTGTTTTCACCGGGGTTTTACACGAAGCACCGAATTTTAACCCATTTCTGCCCAAAATCGTGGGCAGAAACGAAGAGATACAGAATATGGTATAATTCCAACACGAACAACATCATATACAAAAACTTGTAACAAATTTCTATATTTTTATTACACGAAGAAGCGGCATCTCCACATTATACCCACCAACTGTCAATCTTGTGGATTCTCAATGAAGATCGATTCAAGTGCATACGATCTTACGATTTTTTGTATCAATTTATTGATGAACTTTTCGAGCGAATCTACTCAATAGAAAGGTAAATCGAACTGTCCCGATAATAAAGCAACAAATATTTTGTAATAATATGTATAATTAAATTTGAACAAAACTCAATTCACAACAAATATTTAGACGTAAATGTTTTTGCCCTCGATTTCGGGTTTTAACCCGATTTAAGCGGTGTTAACAAAGCGCCGGGTTAAAACTCGGGCGCTTGCCCATCTCTGGCTGCGACTCAACGCTACTGCAAAGCGAGCAGAGGGCGCGGAGTACGAGAGGCGAGGCAGGGAGCAGAATACGTGCGGCCAGCGTAAATAAAACGTGACGACAATAGGAGGTGCGACAATCTGTCGTCACGTCTTTATCGTGACTTTTTTGTCGTCTGACGACTGTCAATCTAGTTGTTCCCACTGTGACGACAGTTTGTCGTTGTAACGATAAAAAATCGTAAACGAACCTTAATCGTGTCGTGCTATATGTGAACAAACAGACCACGACACTGTAAACTGCACGACAATCTGTCGTCACGACATAGTGGGAACGCGCCCTAACAGTTACAGTGGCACTCAGAGATTTAAATCGCAAAGATCTGAAGGGCACTGATACT